TTATAATTAAAAAAAAGATAATAAATTTTATATTTTATATTTTCGTTTAATTAATTATCGATAATTTTAATTATTAGATTATTGAAAAATGATTCGATTTAATTGAATATAATTCTTTGAAAAAAGAAAATCAATTATAAGATTCTTCATATAAGAATCAAGAAAAATTATTTATTAAAAGTATAATAAAGATTAGTTTGTATAATAAAAACTTGATATTTGTTATAATCTTTATAGAATAGATTAAAAATAAATATTTAGATTGTTTGTTTATATTTTATAATAATAGTAGTTTGGATTGAAATCTCAATTGGATTGAAAGAAGATGATTCGATAAATTATTGATTAGAAATTATTATATTGTATATAATTTAATTGTAACAATACTCAAAATGTAACAATCTGATTGAAATAATAATTGTTTAAGGTTTTATATAATTAATAATTATAAATTAAGATTAATAATTATTGATTATCTATTCGAAGATAAATATATTATCAAATCAATTGAAATATAAATAAATTAATTGATAATTAAATTAAATACAAAGTTTCTAAATTATAAAATTATTCTGATTATATATTAATCTATTTCAGAAGTTTTTAAAAGTATAGATTTCTATAAATTTCTTGGAGTTTTCAGGAGTGTAAATTTCTCGAAGTTTCATTACATGATTAAGATCAGATTATATATCTGAGTTTGCTGAAAATGAGGAGATTATATGAAATAATTGTTATACAAATTTGTATATAAATTGCTTTGTTTTTCAAGGAGGTCCAAACTCATAAAGACAGATTGACTATTATCCTATAATATTCTATAAAATGATTTCATGACAATAAGATTTGTTTAAGATTACAATATGATTGATGGAGAAATGAGTCACGATCCTGATAATCTAATTGATCTAAAATACCCCAGTAAAAAATCTAACAAAAAACTTGGTATAAATCTTACAATTTTAAACAAATTTAATTTAGAACTTTTTCCAACTCAATTTAACTTTATTCATTTAATTCATTTTATTTAATTCAAAATAATAATAATAATAATAATAATAATAATAATAAATTATATTATAATTATTATTTTTAAATAAAATAATTTAATTTTCAATTATTCAAAACAAACCGATATTCTATCTACACTCTAATATATGTTTAATATTTAATTTATTATAAACTTTTAAACTTTAAATTTTCATTTGACTATCTCGAAAAGCCAGGGGTCCGAGGAGTGTAGGCCCCTAATATAAAGTAAAATCTATAAAGAATTATTATTGTTATATACTCGAATTCTTATAAATAATAAAGGAAAAAAGAACTTTATTAATTACTGAAATATATTCAATAAAAAAGATCCAAACTCTTCAATCAGATTTTATTTTTTTGAATAAAAAATTATTGAAAGCTTTCTATTATTAATCTATTAAGATTTTAACCTTTTATAATACTTACTTCATTTATATTTCATTTGTTTTCAGGTTTGATATATTTAATATCAAACAAATTCAATTTTTCAAACTATTTATAAATAATTTCATTAATTATATTTGAAATATAAACAAAATCAATTCTATATTGTCTTTTGGTTCTGATTTCAGGATTTCTAATCAAAAAATCATATATCTAACTCTTTCTAAATGAAAGATCCTCTTTTTTAATTTTGAAGAGATTCTCTTTAATCTTTTTTATTTATCGATATATAAAACTAATACTCAATAACTCTTATATTATAATCTAATCTACTAATCTTTTCTCTTAAATCGAGATTATCTTTTATATATTTCGATATCTTATTTTATAAAATAAATAATCATTTATTCAATTATAAAAAATAATATATAATATATTATACTCTGAATTAATCCGATATATAGATATTCTATTTTCTATAATATTAAATATTATAAGAATATCATCTTCATTGTATATATTCGATATTATATAAATAATAATATATCAAAATTTCAAATCAATTGATTCAATAATTGTTAAATTATTAAAGATTAAAAAGATAATGATTGTTTATATTGATATAACTTTTAAGATAGTCCATATTAAAGATAGTTCAAAAATGAAATACTAGACTTATATAATATATTGATAATTATATATATTATTGATTTATTATATAATCTATATAGTCTTAATTATAATTAGATCAAATTGATTATAAATTTATTATTATTATTATATAAAGATTATTTTTGAAAGATTTAAAAAAATATAGAATTTTGTAAATTAAAAGATTAAAATAAGATAATCTCAATAAAAGAATATTAAAATTGAAATCAATATAATATTTTAAATAAGATTATATAATATAATTATATAATTTTATATATAGATTATATTTGGAAATATAATCAAATTCATTATTATTGTAATTTAGTTCTTTAATTTAATCTATATAATCAATACTATTACTCTTATGTTTATTAGGTCTTACTTGTTAATATTATAATCGTTAATTAGCTCTACTCGATTTTTATTCTCGTGATTCAAAGTACTTATTATTCTACACTGGATTGCTTCATGATTATAGAAGCGAAAAACTAAGTCGAAATAACTAGTTCTTCCGACGCTTTGAATTATCCTTTTGATAATCACTTCCAGCGTCCTCTAGATGTTAATAAAGATCGCTGAAAGACTACGGAAACGTGACTCAGCACTAATCTCTTTTCTTCTTAAACAATGGTGGCTACTGAAACACCAAGGAGCGGTAAATTCAACTGTAGTCGGCCTACACCTTGGTCGGAGGTGTGTAATCGCAGTCCCCAATCAAACTTCTGCTCACTTTCAACTAGCTGCTTTTATTCTACCCTGTTGTAAATCCACCGCGATCAAGACAACAGCGAAATCGGCAAGGCTGGCTGTACGAGCACATTCGTGGCTAAGACTACAAAAGTAGGCCATCATGTTGATCCTTTTCCAGAGCAAATCACCGAGCCTCGGCAGGTCAATAAGAAGGTAATATTGAGAAGTCTGGCTTACTTCAGAGCTTGACCGGTGTTTGGTCATCACAACCGTCCTTCCATCACAAGCTAGAGCTTGCAGGACGTCAAAGACAGACTTTGCACTGTGGATATCGAGCGCCGAATTCGGCTCTTCGTGGAACAAGACTTTGGGATTTGTCAAGATTTGGGTGCCAATCGAGAGAATCTTCGCTTGTATCCCTGTTCAAATCTCATCCCCTATCATAGTATATGCACAATCTTTTAAAACCAACCGCAGCCTTGCATAGTCAGTTCGGTGCTACTTGTTTAGTTTGCCTATCGGCGAGGGAAGTCGTAGTTATGCAGCAAAATGCAAGGTTTCTGACACTGTTAATGCTTGGCATGAGAGTGTCATTATCTTGCATTATGAAAGACATATCTGATTTGACTACGCAAACGACGGGATTGAGAAATTGAAGATTAGCGGCCCAAAACCTGCGTAACGAGAAGAAAATGTCCTCGGTCATCACTGTGCTAGGTGTTGTGAAAATGGGCTTTTACTACTTCCACCTGATCCCATTATTACATTGAGCTTTGATGCTCCGACGCCACCCTAACTGGATTTAACACAGCCCCGGTATAGCTTGCCTCAAAACACGACACCTTTGGGTGCTGAGCCGCTACTCCTCGGTTTTGATCTTTACGTGCAGAGCCCTCGCAGCGCTATGGGATTGCGGCTTTCTTCCACCCACTTGTCGTTGGATTTTCTCGATTAATGCAACATTAACATGGTTTGGTCAAGAAGTACGAAGTTCTATTCCACGCAGGAGAATAAACCAATGAATGACGTACTAGCCAGAATTGGTCTCAAATTCAGTCTAGTATCGCTCTATATATTTCCGGCACACAGTGGTGTGGAAGTTTTCGGAAAAGAGTGTTGTAAAATTTATCTAGCAGGCTCGGGCCGGTGAAATCATATCGCGCAGACAAGCTATGAGACTGAACAACATAACCACAGAAAGTCTAGAGTGTACAAACTATGTTGACAACCGATGAAGCTACGGCGGATCTATTGACACCACGACGCGTAGATCGTACGAGCGGCAGCTGTCTTAAAACTTTTACTCATTATACATTATGAGTAAGACGTTCTTTTTCATCGGGCAAGACTTTATCTGACCGGACAAGCCTCGGGAGATATAATTAGAGCTGTGTAAATTCTTTTAACTCCATCAGAGCAATTTTCCATTCAACGCAAGGCCATCAGAAGTTCGGCACGGTTCGCAAAAGGAGATAGACCGTGTCCATGTTCCAAAGAATATGGTAGCACCTTGAGATGGACCATCGTATCATGTGTATCGTCGAGAGACATTGATTACATTGTCAAATGAATCACAAATCTCAGAACGTGGAGCATGGCATGTATTAAGCTAGTAAATGTCTTCGAAGTCGCGACAAATGTACATGGTATTTGAATGATCTTTAACGCAGTGTGCGAATCGAAACCTGACGTTGATTAGCTCCCTTACAGCAACTTGGAATTTGTATGACAGCGGCATTCCCCCCTCACCTTGTTATGGGCTCTTCGCCGAACAAGGCCAAATGACCAGCGAGCAGTTTAATTCCAATCAGGTCCCCATCTTCTCACCACCACTGGACCGCCAATGAGTATCGGCACGGCGCCAAGTTGTTAAGCTTGTATTCACTCAAATTTCCAAACGTGGGCACGTCGCGGATGAAAAACTATAAACAAAAGATAAAATGAAACATGTTCACGGTTGTATTTTGACATCGGAAGTTCTGAAGACGAAAGAGTGTTGTGGCTCATCTTTGCCTTGCAAAAATGGACCCGTCCAAAGTATTGTGCATACTTCCCTTCCACAAATCAAGCAATGGAGTAGGCGAGGTTTATTACTCGAGACTGAAGGGGATCTGGTGGGGTCACCGGGTGTAGTTGCGGGGTTTTAGTATGGGTGGGGTGTACGGAGTAAGGTTACCCGTGCACACCGTGCGGAGTACAGAATTCGGAATCATTCCGATGCATCCTTTCCGCTGCTGTAGGGCCAAGTTCCAACCCACCATTGGGGTCTCCTCGGTTTCCATAGGGCTATGATTTTACCCGGTCCCTAGACTTTTGTTAATGTCTTTCCGTTCGCCATCTCGAGGAATTGAATCGATACAGTGATTCTCTTAGTGTGACTGGTCTTGTTCTTGTTGCCATTCTTTCTTTTTCTTCAACTTGATACGGCACGGTAGGATCATCATATCCAAGAGATTCTGCATACCAACGGTGTCGCTGTTCATTCCTCCAGTTCATTCGGATCCTGCTACCCAAAATGTCCACCAGTTTATGTTTACGAGCGGCGAGAGCTTATACCAGGAATAGTAGGAAGGTAGCCCATCCATATACTTTCTATTCCGTACATACCTCTAATGTGGTTTCTAGCAATCATTATTGTTCGCTCGCACATTTGCATCGACCTCCTCTCGCAATGAAATCAACAAAGTCTTTCCGTCGGCTTCCGAGGCTCTTAAAGACATGAAGTCAGAAAGCACAGTTCTATGCGGAGGCTTCGGTCTATGTGGTGTCCCAGATACCCTCATTGATGAAGTCGTCAGACGACCGGAGCTCAACGGTCTTACCGCAGTTTCGAATAATGCTGGCACAGATAAATCCGGTCTCGGGAAATTGTTGAAAACGAAACAGATCAAGAAAATGATTGCGAGTTATATAGGGGAGAACAAAACTTTTGAGAAAATGTACCTAACGGGAGAAGTGGAGTTGGAGTTAACACCACAAGGAACTCTGGCGGAGAGATGTGCTTCGGGTGGTAAAGGTATACCTGCTTTCTACACACCTGCCGGATTTGGTACGGTTGTACAAACTGGTGAGCTGCCACTTCGTAACAATCCAGATGGTACGCCAAAGGAGCTGTCCTATCCCAAGGATGTAAAGGTCTTCCACGGCAAACCATATCTTTTGGAAGAGAGTATTCGAGGCGACTACGCATTTGTGAAAGCGTGGAAAGCAGACAAGCTTGGAAATTGTCAATTTCGGCTGGCAGCGAACAATTTCAATGGTGCTATGGGGAGAAACGCACAAATGACAATTGTTGAAGCAGAAAATATTGTTGAGCCAGGAGACATTCCACCGGAAGCAGTGCATCTCCCGGGAATTTATGTCAAAAGAGTTATTCAGTCCACAACGCCCAAAGACATTGAGAAATTCACTTTCGCAAAAGATCCAAATGACCCAGCGGCGAAGAGTGCTTGTAAGTTTAATGAGTTCACTAAATCCTTTTTTTTTGTACTAGTTTATCCCCTTCCTCGATTCAATGCCCCTTTTATGTTTCATTATGTACACTCCACCTGCTGCCCATTACAGCTCCAATTTCCATGTCTCTCATATCCCCGAATTGTTTTTCAATAGGCAATAATACTGATATTCCGATCTTGCAGTGGGTAGCGGTGATACTGCTGCGAAGCGAGAGAGAATCGTCAGGCGCGCCGCCAAAGAATTCAAAAATGGAATGTACGCCAATCTCGGCATAGGAATGCCCATGCTTGCGCCGTCTTTCGTGGGCCCAGAAGTCGAGGTGCAGCTACAATCAGAAAATGGCATATTAGGATTAGGTCCTTACCCTCAAAAAGGTTTGGAGGACCCGGATCTCATTAATGCTGGCAAAGAGACCGTGACACTCAATCCTGGTGCCGCGGTTTTCGGTAGCGAGGAGAGTTTTGGCATGATCCGATCCGGACGAGTAAACTTGACTATCTTGGGAGCTATGCAAGTAAGTGGGAATGGCGACCTTGCGAATTGGATGCTACCTGGAAAGATAAAGGGTTTTGGAGGGGCGATGGATTTAGTCAGCAATCCTTCAATGACGAAGGTCGTGGTAACCATGGAGCATTGCGATAAGAAAGGAAATGCGAAGATTGTGAAGCAGTGCGAGTTCCCTCTAACCGGAAAAGCTTGTGTTTCGAGGATAATTACCGAGCTAGTAAGTGGCTTGCCACCCCTGCCGTCGGTGTTGTGATTATCTGATGAATAGTGGCCGGTAGCAAGAGAAAACATCACTGACGAACTTATAGGGTGTATTTGACGTCGATTTCACTAAAGGTCTTACTCTGATCGAAATTGCAGATGGAGTAACAGTGGAGGAGATTAAGAGAAAGACAGATGCACCGTTTATCGTAGCAGGTGATCTAAAATCAATGCTGTGAATCAAAAAGTAGAGTAATGTATAAAAGCATTTGGAGCCTAGCGACATTCGATATCCGTTGTGGTGCGATGCCGAACTTTGGTTGAATCTTTTACTGTAGACAAGTGACGAGTGCAGTACTTCAGAGGGTCGATCACCGACCTATGGAGGATTGCAAGCATCTAAATATTAAGCGTAAGACCTATGGAGATTCATGTGTGGGATAGGCAGAGGGGCCATCTTATCAGCACACGAGAACAGGAAGGAAGTGGTATTAATGTCGTTTGATCCGGAAATCCGGCCTGAGAGAAAGAAGACCCCTATTCCGAAAATAACGAATTTATATTGCAAAACAGAGAGATATTGTAAAAGGGGTAGGTCGAGATACGTGCGTCCCGATAGCACGCTATGAAGGGGAATTGGAAAAGGAAGCTAATTAGACTACAATGTAATATATCATTTATGGAGAAAATAGGTTTCACAATGGATTTGGGGTTGAAGCTATATAGATTCAATTGTAAAGGTATAAAAGATTGATTGGTTTTAAAAAAGAAAGATAAAAAAGGTCCCTCTTTATATCCAATTACAAGAGGTTATGTGATTCGTTAGCTAAAATCCTCTATGTATGTGGCTTGCAATTCCAACTTTCTCACAATATGTATGTTCAATTCCATATAAAACAATTGTATGATGATTTCGGCACCCGCTAGTCGTTCAGTGATGAACAGGCAATTCAAGGCTCTCATGATGCCTTTCGTTCAAGCAACGAAGGCACATCAACAGCACATAGGAGATCAACACATTGCTATCACTTGCACAGAAGATCAACTGCTGCCGCTAAGTGAATACTTAGTAGGTGTGGTGCTGAACTATTTATTTTTCCCTTCTAAAAAAGACACTGTACAGAGTCCGGCCAAAGTCATACCCTACTACTTCTTGTACGTCAAACCACCGCCGAAGCTGTGTTCACTATTCTCGCCGCCCTTCGTGACCTTGCCTTCCGCGACTCCAGTCTCAAATGCGCAGCTGCCCATATCCATTTTCTTTGCAGGGCCCGAAGGAGAGATGTCGAAGTCGAAAATATCCATTGGTAACCCAAGCGTCGTGCATGCTAGTCCAAAATTGTTAGTGTACGATCGTATGGCTTGGAAAAGGTATGCGGAACTTACCATTTGGAATATCTACAATTCCAGCGACGTGACCTTGCACCGGAGCACAGGATAACAAAAGATAGATCTGGTAGTCAGAGTATCCGAAGCGACGAAGATATTCGATGCAACGTAAAATAGTCTCACGGTAGGCTACAGTTACGTCCATGTAATGCTTTCGTGATTTCTTAGTATCTGAAATCTTCGGATGGGCGTGATGTCTTACGTACCTGTTTGCCATGATGATCCACACTGAATCCTTCGAAGGTAAGATATCTTCCTGGTCCATAATGTGGTTCGACCGGACCAGGGAGGTATAGTGGTGATTTCATACCAAGATCTGCCATGCCGTTTTTCATTACCTTGAAATTGATGGTAATAATGCCAGACATCTCAATGGCACCGCAGAAAGAGATCTCACCATCACCCTCTGATGTTTCTATTAGATTTTTGGTCACAAACGGACAACAGAATGACTCACGGGAGAAATGGAGATCTCCAACAGAAAACTTAGCCCCTTTCACGTGCACAGGAAGGTACACCTGATCACGTATTAGTCTTCGAGCTGACACACCTTGTTATCAGATCTTCTCACCTTGCTTCCTCTGCTAAGATTCTTGATGTCACAATTTCCGCCATGTTCCGGACGACCTGAGAGGTATCAGCTTTTGAGCCACAATTGGGGCAATGTTTGTCGATGATACCTGGGATTGTTCTTGCACCTTCGCGGGCAACCTTTGATTTGACATCCTCAGATGCTGAACCTGCATGTACATTTTGAGGATTTGGTGGTTGAGCAACGATTCTGTCCAACCTGTTCGCGGCAATCAATTCTCCCTCACGTTTGTTCCAAGTGGCTAGGACCTATCATCTGTCATTAGACTGGTAGATCTTCTGTGGTTGCGTGGCGATTCTTCAAGGATTTCCAACAGTGTAGACTGTCACCCAGCGTTGTAAAACTTTAAATGCCCTCAAAAAATCTTTATTCATTTTGGGTATAGCTTGATAACTTGGGTTGATCAATACAACCTCAAGTAATATCAATATGTAAACTGGAGTTAAGATCGAAAATATCTCGTTCTTGGATGGCAGTCGGGACAGCTGAGACCCCTAAATTTATTTCCCTTGCTGAAGTGCTTTGGCGCAAACGAGGGAGCAAGACAAAATGATGGTGTAGAGACATACCTCTGCGGATGGTGCACAACCAAGGATCCCAGGGTGAATCAATCCGGGAAATTTGACATGAGGGATATGTCGTGAGGAACAGTAGATCCCCTCGAAATCCCATATAGCCTTAGCTCTACATCGCTACTCATCAATTTCCAAATCAAGAAAATGTTCAATCAAAGTCAGACTTACGCCGATGGGTAAATTTCATCCAAAAAACCGCCTCCATTTTCTTTGGCGAAAACACCTGGCAGCAAAAGTCACTATCAAACTCACTGAAGCTGCTGAACCTGCTCATTACTCACCAGTACTAGATGTGATCAGTAAGCGATATAGACTTAGCGTCGGATTTCGAGGAACTTACAAACCCCAAGGATGCTCCTGATGTGGCTGTACATCCATAATTTCGACAACCAGTACGTCACCTGGCTCTGCTGTCTCGATTTCAAAGGGTCCAGATAAGTAGTGGATTCTTGTCAGGTCGACATTCTTCACATCATCCGCACTATCATCATTTTCTGGAATAGCCGTAAGTATGTACAAAAGTGATGATACGAGTCAAAAACGCACTGATCTGACCCCCAGTCCAGTCAACCTTCGCGACGTTGTCAGCGGCTGTTTAAATAAAAGTCGAGGTTTAGATGACACTTACACATTCTATTTTGACCGTTTCGCCATTTTTGATAGTGTCAGCGAACGGAATGTCTGGGTGCCATCTGTTGTGAAGTTTTGGCTGACTTTCTGCAGGCTCATCAAGTGAGACCTTGCATATATTGCGGATTTCTGATCGACCCATTGTATCTTATTGGGATCTAAGTGTGAGATTGGGTTCAAACAAGAAGAACGAAATATGGTGGCGGTTATGTTCAAATGTTTGTGGGAAGGAGAAAGAAAAGGTCAAGGGGAACATGAGATAAAAATTGAAAACGTAGTCGGAAGTTGGGTGAAACGGAGAAGAAATGTCATGGGCAACACCTCATACCGTTATATAGGTGCTTCACTAAAAGTGGCATCTATTTTCAATTAATATGTGAATGATCAAAGAAGAGACGTAAGAAATGATAAGGGAGGTGTCTTCGGGAGCTCTTATCGTAAACTTACCCCTCTTAAGTCAATCGAGCCAATCATCTTTGCAGATTGATTTAAGATAGGAGAGTAAGATTACAACAGGCGAGTAAAGCAAAATGTGTATGGACATCTAGGGATTTCAGACGGGATTATAGAAAGTTATCATTATTAGCATTGTGAATTGTAATTAAAATTACCTAATTGTAGAAGATTTCAAAGATGACAAGTCATAATTCATGATTGGCTATTCATTCATTCATTCATTCGTAGATCTGGGTCCAACAAATAGACTGAGAGATCTCTTAGCATTCGCACTCTTATTCCAAACGAGCTACGCAACCTGGCAATTCAAGAAACTTTATGATGGCTTAAAAGTGCATGCAAGTCGGCTTTTGGAAGTAGAGCTTGGATTACCGGATTTATTGACCAATAAGCTGACACTATATACAATGGTATATGGGTATTTTAGAGCCTATGTCTATCTTTTGGCACTAGAGGAAATGGTAAACATATTTTTCGTCCCATTGTTAGTGCTATCCCGTACTATCAACTGACCACCTGCCCTGTGCTCGCCATCCTGATCATCCATCTACCTTGATCTCAGTTCGCTATATGGTGGAGGTGCTTCTGTGGCTGATGAAGAAGCTTTTTTGCTTGAATCACCCTTTGAGAACCCCTTACCACTAGACGTATTCAGAGTATCGAGTTGGTCGAGTTTGAGGTTCAAGAATTCATGCTTGTTCTTCCATTTTTGTTGGCTAGCAGCAAAATTACCCTCTTGTCCAACAGGTGGAGGTGGGTCGGTAATTTTGGTAATAAGATATGCCGTTGATGCTTCTGCAATGCCATAGACAAGTACACCAAGGAGAGGGATACGGAGCAGTATGTAGAACCCGACACCAAATCCAAACAAAAGCCCCTCTCGATCATGAAACCAATTTTTCTTTTGCTCTTTAGTAAAATCGATACGAGCGAAGTATGGCTCAAGCTGTACCAGTCAGCAATGATTCTAAGTGGTCAAAATTAAAACGCACCAATTCACGCATCAAACTGCGTGACGAGAAGTAGGTTTGTAAAAATATTACTAGATATTTGCGAGGCAAAAAGATACCAGTGCCAAACACTACAAGGCCAGGACCAAGACCCGCGGCTCTATTGACTGTTAGTAAGATAGGTCCGGTGCTTCCATCAGGATTCGTACTTATTGAACGTGTAAAAACTGGCAGCCGGGAGCACGAAACGTCCAAGTATCGGAACATAAGATAGAGCATAAACTGCCAAAGAGAGTCCCGCCTTCTTGCCAAACTTCATTAAAAACATGGAAGAGTTCTCCGCTGTGCTTGTTTTGTGTGTAGAACCATCTCTCTTGGGATATTGTCGCAGGTTTGGATAATATTCATCTCGTAATGTGGAACGATCTTCTCCTTTGTGTTTCGCGTAATAGGTTTCGTCAACGAAAGCAAGGCTCATCATGAACCTGTAAGTGTTAGTAAAGAACCATTTCCAGTAATAAGTTATGCGTTCAATGTTCATGGAGAAATACTCACATATTGTCAAGAGTTGGAGTGACGCGACTCAATATGCTCATGAGAAAGAAAGGAACCTGTAGAACATGATTTTGAATAAGATCTATACCCTCAATCACCTTCTCATCAAACGAGGAAGCCCCCAGGTCTACAACAAACGACGTAAACCATAGAAAGACTCTCACTCCAAAAATCTGCCACATGTTAGCGAGCATAAAGAGCAGAAGTACAGGATGACGAGAAAGCGTACGGGGATCTCTATAGCTAGTCGAATTATGACACCTGCTAAGACGGCGAGAGCCACCTGCTTGTAGTGTTCGGAAGTAAACAATTGGGGATTCTGCAGAGCCCTCAGAGCTAGTGAAGCAGTTAGTCAAGTCGGTACAGTATAGTATTGTACATCAACGGTTCAACATATGGATATTGATAATGATATTGTAGTTTTGCTCCAAACTAACCTCCCACAATAGTCAATTGTGCTCCTCGCAGAAAAGCGTTCAAATCGAAATGGTCGATAGACAACCTTTCCTTTAAGTCATCAGGAATTTTGACTGGTTTCTGCGACTTTTCCGAGCCCATTTTGGCCATATGTGAGTGGCTATCTGTTGAAAGGTAGATGGATGATAGATGATTGCAGGTTGAAGATTGGAGATTGGAGATGGAAGAGTGAAGACTGAGGACTGCCCCTCAGTCTTTTTGTTTGTTCTTATTACGGTACCTGTATACGGCATGTACACATAATCTTTTTTTGATCCCAGCTACACGGATACGGAATGAGACAACTGGCTCTGGCTCAAAGATGTCATCCTTTCGGGCCCTCATTTGTAGAAAAGGCACAACAGGCACGAGTTGAAGACAGTATTATGAATTATGAATTAATTATTGATTAATTCGTTCAATTATTGAAACATACTCCCATTAAACTTCTAAATCGCAGTGAGATCATTCAAGAATAGCTATGTATTTATACAATAGGCCTTACCTTTATACCTACATACTCTGGTAGTTGTTGAAATTGGCTAGGAACACCAGAACATCCATTGAAGCTAGAGAGCGTAACTCGAAATGATAAATACTACGGAGTATTATCGATGAAGCTATTCAAGAACGGGAGAACTGAGTACTCGAGTATTCTTTATCATTGTTGAAATTGCATCGGAAACGTTAAATGAAGACACGAGAAGTAGTACTAGGTCCTTGATGCTCCTCCTTACAATAAAGGGAGGCCACTTCACTCCGCTCTCTGAATAAAAATACATAAATAAGCCTTACCATCCATCGATGAGATGAGGCTATTCGAGAATCTGTAACATCAAACAGTTGTACTTTGACAATATTTCTGCACCATTGGAGTATAAGACAGGGAATGTGATGCTATGTAGGGGATCTTAGATAGTTGTTTTATTTTATTTTTCTTTATTTTTTCTTCTTGAATACTATTTATCTATTTATAGTTCCTATACTGATCACCCATACAGAGAGTATATATGCAATTGCCATAGTTAGATCAGATCGATTATAAATTTACTACTACGGACGTTATTTATTTTCCATTCGTCCATTCTCCGTCCTCGAACCGGATTTCTCATCCCATTGCTGAGCTATCTCATGTGCTGTGTGGTGGTTGAAATTGATCTGGAACATTTATTGAAGATATATAGATAAGTCACTGGCAGTACCACGGAGTATCTAAATATACAATTGTACAGTACGATAACCTATATAATAAGGATAATAATACCCAAGTTAAAGATCTTGCAGCGGTCAATGCACTGTACTGTCTGATCCCCCACCGCAAGTTGGATCTCCTTAACACCCAAGGATTCAATATCCGAATTAAAACCTCCAGTAAATTAGGACAATGTGACATGACTTGTGCTTTGATTGCAAAATTTCAATGAATAAATCGAGGATCGTATATTGAATTTCATTTTCTTTAGGAGTGAGAATGTTGTTGGTCAGAGACGTGTAGGCGCGCCGTCTCGTTTCAGTACCTAGAGATATTATATATTGTCTGAAGCATAATCCTCCTTGCTTTCTGGCTACCATCAGCCAGCCCTTTTGACTTAATCAATTAACACAATCAATCGACTCTTCTATTCTCCCATAAGCAATTGAAGTTTTCCGTGGACACAAAAGGCATCTTTGCTTTTGCTACTCCACATTCCTTCTCAAAATTCAAAGTGGAAAATCGACATCGACAGGAAGCTGCCTCTTACAGTGCATGGAACCGCCTGTACTGTCTTGAAACTTCGCAGGATCTACAATAACTGCACAGCTTGCATATATCACCGTCAACCTCAAACTCGCATTCATTTACAGCATTCAAGAAGCTCACCGCCTATCGCGCAACATACAACACCATCATGGTCATTAGACAAAAAGCATAGAAAGTAAAAAACTGGCTCAACATTGCCATGGCTTTAACTCCCTCATCTGCACGCGCCGTGTCTGCTTCTGGTCGACTAACATCAATACCCGATCCCCAAATTGAAATACTTTACAGTGTCGATGGAGCCCGCATTATATCGTTTTCAACACCACCGTCTACTTTATCGCGGCCAAGCTCGAGTAATGGGTCTGCGGAGGAGGATACAGAGATAGGTTGTTCGTTGAGGTGGTCATCCCCAGTGGAAAGGACAATCGCTGTCGGTACGCGCTTCATGGCAATCTGGTATTTGCCTAGGAAAGAATACTCATGCTGATATTTTGGTGCAGGAACCTTGCGCATATATAGAGCTCCCGAATCGGTCGCGTTTTTGAACTGTCAAAAGGCTTTAAAGCCAATATTACCTCGAAGTCAATGTTGGTTTATTTCAGATGATGGATCGAGCAAGTTTGTGTTGCAAGTACGGAAGTTGCAGGAGTATTGGCGAATCGAGATAAGAAACACAACGCCCGAAGAAATTAAACAAGTAGAAGAGTTCAAGAGGACATTGGCGCAAGTGTTGTTGTACGAAAAGACTCCTTGTCCATTTCAAAGAACGTTTTCAATTGATCTTCCGATCGTTCCGCAGATACCTGCCATGCAAAAACCGTGGAGGCCAGTACAGAGGTCATCATCGAGGATTCCTTTACCTAGGGGTGATCTTTATCCTATTGCTTCAAAGTCATCCTCGCTGACCCGGAGCTCGCCAAAGCTCTCATGCACAAGAACCCGCTCTTCTTCCCCACTTGAAGCTCCTGCATTGCATCAATCCGCGTCTTGCCCCACAAAGACATGCACATCGGACCTGCAAACCCAAGAAGAAACGCCGGAAGCATCTTCAGCCAGATCAACGAACCTCAGCGTACAATTTCCGACCTGTCCACCCCAAAATCACCCCGCTGAATCCCATCAGACAGAACATGATTGCTGTCCATCAGAATCTGTGATTCCTGCCCAGCCCCATTTAGAGTTTGACGAGGGTGATGACACTGATGCGACCGATGACACCAATGTCACACCAAGGAATCCCGTCCTGTCATCATATCCGCAATCACCTCTTGGATCTAGATCTCGGTCACAAGCATTACAACACTGTAGTCGATCAATAACGGCACCTCCTGTGCTCTCTCTAATCACCAGTCCACCTTCAAAGCGTCGAACTAGGTCGCCAGTCAGGAAAATTGTCGTTGGTGACCCTGAATCGGAGCTTTCATCAAGCGTCGAGTCATTTCACTCTACGCAATCATGGCACTCTCCGCTCGATGTACCACCATCACCACCTCTCTCGAGTCCTTCATCACCTAGCACATTTCCCTACCCGCACGATAATATTATACTTCCAAAGAAGGTACACCCTACGCGTACAATTTCACAGCTCAATGTAACCCCTGAGGTACACGGAGTATGGCAAACATCTTCGCTCATTAATGCATCGCCTCGAAGTTTGTCACCAGCTCCAAGAACCCCGACTTTGATCAGCGATGGTGGAAAGTCTGAAGATGAGGCCTCCGAGATCATAACCCCACCACCCCCAAAACTGAGAAATTGTGGTATTACAAATAGCGATTCAAGCATAAGGACACTATCACCTCTTCCTTCAGCGGTGAATCTGTTCTCCCCACCACCGGGGTCAAGACGACTACAAACTGCTCGACATCTCCCAACGGCAATCATCCAAAAGACATGCGAAATTCTTCTAAGTCCGCCAAGCCATCTACTACACATCATGATGAATATTGCATCCAAGATTGCAGCAGGGGAATGGAGAGGCGTGCTACTTGGCGAAGGGGAGGCTGTGCATTGGGATTTTACCGAGGACGAATATCATGGTGAAACCTGGACTGAGGATGACTTTGGATTTAGGCTTACACCCACGCCTTCGAGGAGGAGGGTGAGTTCCTCAGGACCCAAGAACAGCACGGCATCAGGCGAGAGCTGGGAACTCGATTAGAGCATTTCTTTATACACTATGAACCTCTCATTTGTGATATTATGATATTTTAATCGTGACTTGGTCTGGAGATATTCAAGGAGTTTTGGTGGGAAAGCCATGCGATTACTAATTTGGTTGATATGGTGTTTATGATTTTCATGGAGCGTAATTTGGGGATGTAGAAATAGTATGGATATGACGCGTTAATATCATGGCACATGCCATATGAAATATCATTGGAGTCGCTCTTTCGACGCATGACGTCTATCCTCTTTACATATATATGTGCATGTTCTCTGTCATATTGCGGGATTTGTACTTGAAAAACAATAGAGCGACCTGAAGGCTTTTACTGTGAGATTCATTCGCATGGATCAAGTTGAACTATTGGTATGAGCACAAGAGCATCTATCAATGGCATTTTACCCTTTAATTGTTACTAACTTTTGCTCGCTGAATCGCGATCCACTTCAATATATCTTATCCTCATACCAGCGTAGCAACCACCCATTGTTCGCGCTTACCGGATTCCCACACAAACTCTGAATTCGTAAAGCTGCTCTTCGTACACTTTTTTATATCCCTTCACTTCCGCCCAGACATGAATCCCTCTATGAGAAATTTTGACTTTCCCTGGCCCGATCATGAGGCTCGTTCAAAGTGAGTGGAGGCACCTTCTAGCATGATGGCATGTGCGTGAGATGACCGCTAGTGAATCGAAGATATTAAACATATTTACGCGTTGCACCTTCTATAAAGTCATTTTTCAATACCCTTCCATCCTCCATCCCTTTCCTTTCATTCCTTCGCCACCACATTTTGTTCCAACCACTTCCACCTCTGCCCTAATTCTCCATTTCCATTTCCATTTCCGTCTTCCTCTCCCTCGACAGCTCTCCAAGCCGTACTTTCCAATTCTGCTTGTTCCTCTTTGAAAGTAGCGAATCTAGTTTCGAGTCTTCGCATTTGTCTAGGGTCGCGAGAAAGCATGATCGCCCATCCCTCAAGTGCTTCGTCAGTCATGCCTGTTTCTTGTCTTATGGCTGCTCTTTCCTTGCTTCTACGAGTGGTTGCATCTCTAGCAAAGATGCTTGGTGATGACCTGTAGGCACGGAACAGGGCTTCATCATGTGCACTTTGTTGTAGGTTGTTCTCTGGGTTGGGCTCTTCAGGGTTGGTGGAATCAACAGTTCCGCCTACATCGGCAAGATCGTATGTGTCGTCTCTTTCATCGTCATCTGAGTCGAAAGCAGCAAGTGCAGATAAAATGGCGGCCTTGTTGGGTGCAGTAGAGCGATCTTGCAGTACATCATCGGCTGTTTGGTCGGGGTTTCGACGACCGAAATGTAGGCGGGAGGCATCAACTGTGAGTTGGTCAAGCTCGTCATCATCAAAGACGTTGAGGCGGGTAGGAAGTTGTGGAGGAGTTGAATGAGGTGCTAGGCCGGCGTGGCCTGAAGATGATTCGTTGGGAATTTTTCTATAGAAATGGTTAGAGCGGTGGCTTCCGGAGCATGAGAGTACGTACAGAATTTCATGTCGATCAGCAATATTTAGACTTGGTGGTAAAGAACCGTCCAGAAGATGAGATATAACTTCTTCCGTATTATCATGGTATTCTTCAAGTAACTTGACAATAAAACCCGACCCAAGGTCTGGGAACAAATCCTGGACTTGTGATATAAGGCTCATTTGATGAACATGCATATTGCTATCCCCTTGGCCACCAGCGTCGGCCAGGCCCTTGCCATTATTGGGCTTCTTCTTGATAATGTGGCGTGGCCTTCCACCGCCTCCAGGTTTACGAAAGCCCTTTAAAGTCGTGATGACAGACTTCGCTCTGCTCGACCCTGAGCCACTAGCATCAATTCTTTCTTGAGTTTGCTTTAGCACGGGTGTCACTGTGACCAATTCAGCAACCAGTGAGTCGTTCACATTGATCGGACCTTTCTTATGTGCTTCAGCTGCAGCATTTAGTGAATAAAGTCGGTCGATAAGAGATGAAAATCTTGGCTTGGGACCTTCTGTAAGTCCAATAATACAAAGATACATAGTGGAGAGAATGACTTTGCGCAATGGTGGATTCATCAGCTTGTAACAACTTATAAGAGCATCCACGAAATCATCCCCAGCCATGAAGAATGAGGATGCTTCAGGAGAGGCGTATAGCAAATGATTTAGTCGTCTCAGTAGTATCTCGGAGCCTTTGAGGTCTCCCTTGAGGCCAGCATCCAGCTCTTCTGTCAACAATCCCTTGACACTACTCAACGAAGCCTCGATTGCTGTTGAGTGCTTGCTCCATGCTAATGTAGTCACCTTGCCGCCCCTTTCCTTTCCATAACCTTTACATACATCTGCAAGAATTTCCCAGCGCAATAAAGATTCCGGTGATTTATCAACGGTAATCAACTTATAGAATAGGAGATATGCTTGCTTGCGTAGCTGCTTGAACTTTGAGGAATTTGTTGACAAGTTCTCATCATGTGATAGAGCTATTTCGGCAAAGTAAGATAGCAGGAAGTCCGGTAGGGATTCATCTTTTGCTGATATCCGCATAAAATCTGGAGTTGACATGGAAAGGTGTGCTTCGATTAGAGATAGCCAGGCATCCAAGCAAGCCTCCCACTCCTCAGGTAGCATATTCGACCTCCATGATAGTTTGGGATATGGAACTAAGGGTGGGAGAATTATTGATTTTGAAGCCATCTCGGAAATTCTAGTGCAGGGTGCGGATAAAAAGAGAAGATGGTGAACTTCTTGAGAAAGGGAGACAATATGTTGAAATAAGAAGTTCTGTCAGGGTGCTTGCTTGCTGTGCTTCCCGCCTTTGATTAAGCATAAATATTTTCAATGGGGTTTTGTCGTTTTGTTGTTTTGTTGTTTGATCGTTTTCATAAATCTATGGCAAGAGAAAAGAGGTAAACAATAAAAGAATCTAGAATAATTTATCAGAATAATTTATCAGAATATTCAAAATATGTACAATGCTCTCGCCGTTTGACTCAACAACCTATGTATATACAGCCAGCTTGTTGTTGCACTTATCCATCCACCTATCAAATTCAATGATGACGGAAGTCGTGCATGCATTAATGCCTTGAGAATGAACCCGCACGAAACACAAAAGTTCAAGGCACCAATTAATGTGATGTTTTAAAGCTGGAAACAATTATGGTTATGTAATCTTTGTTCAGACACTTTCAACCAATTAAATCAATTCGTTTAACCTACCCACGCCAAGACTTTCACCCACAATTCCGCAAATCTTCAATTTTGTCTAATTGACGCGACGGATTTCAGAATTCTTTTTTCCTTTTGCGACCACCTTCATCACTTTGCCGCAACTGGAACCATCGTTCGAGTCTTGAAGGAAATACATCAATCAATAGAATCCCATTCTATCTATTCATCCATCTATCAGCAATCATGTCTTACAACAAGGATAAGGATTTCGCCGGTGAAGGCCCAGTATGTTTTTATGTCTTTTCCATCTGCATCCCACATCCCCTCGAGTTACGCAAATCGCGAGCCGTATATCAAAATGGAAATACATTCTTGAAGCTAACCTACTCTCCTTCCCCAGAAAACCCACAAGATCAGAATCACCCTCACATCCAAGAAGGTTGACTCCCTCGAGAAGGTCTGCCGTGAACTCATCGAGCGTGCCAAGGGAAAGGAACTCCGCATCAAGGGACCAGTCCGTCTCCCAACCCAAACCCTAAAGGTTACCACCCGTAAAACCCCTTGTGGTGAAGGTTCCAAGACCTGGGATTGCTTCGAGATGAGAATCCACAAGCGTTTAATTGAGTACGTTTCTGCACCTCGGTCACGATTCGAACCTCTGCAGAAGAATTAGAAGAGCACCAGAGAGAGTCCAGAAAGAGAACAGTATACTAATGGAATAATAGTCTTAACGCTCCTACTGAGGTTGTCAAGCAAATCATCATCAACATCGAAGCTGGTGTTGAGGTTGAGGTTACCATCGCTGCATAAATTACTTGAGTGTGATGGGAAAGGGAGGAAACGATGGTGAACAAATAGGTCGGCCACGTAATGAGGGTAGACAATTGAATGCTGTTCCTCTCATCTATTGATATCTTCCGCGACTCTCGTGATAATGTGTGACCGAGATATATTTTGCTGTTGGGTTTCTCAGGTAGCAGAAATCTGACATATTCGGCGTCCAGATATGTATGTATCTATTTCAATCAGCTAGAGAACCACCAACATACAATTACTAGACATTCGCGGCAACCTCTGCTAGCAAATTAAACTACAAAACCTTCTGTGCTAAAGGATAAACAATTAACATAGCCAAATCCACCATAAATCAAGAAAACCAACCCTTAGTCAAATGCTCCCAATACCCGTCTACCTATCTACCTACCCATTATACTAGATAATGTCCTTACAGAAAAAGCCGACTCTATATTTTTATCGATTTACCTAGAGTATTTACCTACCTAGGATACACACATGCCCGTTCATTCAAAGATATCCAAACCTGGCGTTTGATCTTACAACACTCAGTTCCAACACCCAAGGCAACTAATTTTACTTGCTTCCTAACTGGACATCAGATATCAGGTATCAGATATCAGATGTTGGATATTTCAATATGAAAATACATTTGATGCAAGTTTCAACCAGTGAGAAATGATATCCAACTCAGTTATATTTAGTAGTTAACTCATATCGATCCTAATGGGGTCCAAATTACACACCCTGCTTACCTTGTATTGTTCCCCGCCAAATTGCACATCACAACGTTCTCGCTCAGTCCTCGAAATGGGTAATAATTCAAATAGGTATCGTCATTTCTCTATCCGTTTTCTTCATTCCCCGTCAAATAGAACTACAATATGTACAATCGAAAAGTATCTTTTTCCTATCAATCAAACTCACAACTCCACCATCTTTTCATTCTTAGTCCATCTAATCTCCTTCATCACAACCAGCGCGAAATATATACGAAGCCTCATACCCAACAACCGGCTCTCAGCAGTATCAAATACACTCATGTTTCATCTCAGATTTCCATGTATCAACCCTCCCATTTCAACCCATCAGGCACAAGAATATCAGCAAAGTTTAGTATCTTCCCACCACATATATGTACAAAACATTAGTTTTAACTCCATAGAATACCATGAATACTTCAAAGGCTAAAGCAGATCGTCAATCAGGGGCTGCATAAGAATTTAGATCAAGCCAGCTGATACATCCGAAGGTGCATTTCCAAGGTAACCCCAGGCCTGTTCAGCCATGTAAAGAGCGGGGGTGTTAACCTTCCAGTAATCATTGAATGTGCTGAAAAGGTAAACGTTGGATGAGTTGGAAGCGAAGAGACCCTTGATAGCGGCAACTGCAGTGGTCTGAGCCTCGGGAGAGGCGACCGCTTGATCATGAGATGTTCCAGCGGACGGCCATCCAGTCTCAGAGATGACAATCTCCATGTCAGGGTTGCTCAAAAGGGCTCGTAACTCGGAGATTTGGGTGCTAAGGAAGGTACCAGCAGCCTCGGCTGCGGTGTTGGTATCAAAGAAAGGATGGCAGTTGACAGCGCAATAATCAACATTGTCGCAAAGACTTGGGTAAAGCTTAGTGGCAGCCAAGGTATCCACGGCTACAATCTTTCCGGTATAACCAGCGGCTGAAAGAATACCTCTGGCGGTAGCGACGGCACTAGCAACACCAGCTGCATCAGTGATACCGTTGTTGACCCACTCATTTCCAATAGAAATAGTGGTGATGACGCTCCAGTCACCATTAACAGCATCGACAATTGCTTGGGTTTCAGTTGCGACCTCGGTGAAATCATACACACCAGCAAAGATTTTGAACCCATACTTCTTGGCGGCGACCAAGGTAGTGGTGACTTGATTACAATCAGTTCCGTAAATACGGACCGTAGAATATGAAGATGGGATAGCAGCAAAGTCCTGGTTCACTTGGTCTTGAGTCTTACAGGCACTGTTGGCCATGTAAGGTGAGTAGGCAAATCCGAATCCTCCAGATGATGCGACAACAGCTGAGGTGGATGCAACTGCAGCGGAAGAAGTGGTAGAGGAGCTCGAGACAACTGGGACAACTACGGCACTGCTAGAAGAAATGACAACTGGGGCACTGCTAGAAGAGCTGACAACTGGGGCAGCAACACTAATAAAAGCTGGGGCAACTGGGGAAGCAGGATCGATGGAAGGGACAGGTACAGCAACTGAGAGAGAGACTGCGGCCGAGACCTGTACACTTGGTGCTTTGGGTGTTGTGCTTGCGGCAGCAACATCAATCTGGGTGGATGGCTGGACGGCAACATCATTGACAGGCGTAGTGGTTGTCGCGTAGGAAGTCGAGGTAGGAACAACTGAATTGGATTCATAGGTGGTTGTGGGTTCGTTGTCAACGTATTTCGTGGTGGTTGAAAGAGGGTTACCCTCAGAGTCAACATAGATGATCACTTCCTGAACCTCTGTAGACGCGACGACAACGGTATCTACGACTGTAACCAGATCTCTCTTGTTGTGGATGGCTCGGTGAGCATTGTGACGGTCTACATATGTTAATTGGTATACGAAAAAGGGTAGCGGCAGCGAGTACATACTAAAAGGTTGAGCCAAAGTCAATTGGAGAAGGGAAAATCCCGCGAGGGATAAGGTTGTAGTCTTCATATTGAAAATAATATCGAGAGAAGATATGTGTCGGTTTAGAAGTTCAAATAGATTCTCCTATCTGTTCCCGACCAGCGGTTAGTATGGGGTAGACAGTAAACAAGAAGAGATGGTAAAAAAAAACAGAAAAAAAGTAAACTGAGAGGTAAAGATTTTTGGAGGAGGTAGAAAGTCCAGCAGGCTCCTCTGAGACGGGGGGATCCCATGTTTGGTCTCCCAAGTCTTCAGAAGCCATGAGTATAAGCTGGGGATCTTTGATAATATTAGAACTCAAATGCACAAACCTAGATGTCGAAGCCGTCGGAATGTAGATTTGATTTGAGAATGAAGGTGTCAAGAAGGATGAGCTCCAATGGGGTATCGATGACAACAGGAATGATGTCTCTTCGTAGTAGTAGGAGGAATGAGTGGTGTTTGAATTCGAGGTCAGTCGTTATCAAGGATAGAGATTGGACTGTAAATGGTCGTTGTATTGGGCAAATGGAAGCAAAAGATGCGCTGCAATTTTTGCGATTCTATATATTCGAGTCTCTTCTTGGAGGACGTCTGGGGCCAAGAAATAAAAATCTAAAAAGGAACGTGATGAGTTTTGACGGATGCGGACTGTCAAATTCTCGAGTGCTTATGTTGTTGTGTATATTGAAGGATAGGTAGTGAAAGAAATCGAAGATCAAATCGAGTTTCCAAAATCCAAATCCAAATTCTGACGGAGGAGAATTATAATGTAAGAGGAGGATAATCAAGAAGGAACCGACGATGTTGTTGTTTTGAGGGAGGGAGAGAGGGAGGCTGCTTTTGTTTACATTAACAAGGAACGACAAACGGGGAAATTCGTTTAATTCTTTTCCAAAGTGGATTTAAAGTTTGATTAAAGTTTTTGGTGCTACGGTAAGTAGAGTGAGTAGTAAACAAGTGAAGTAGGCAAGTACGAGGCAGGCCAGTAAGTGGAAGGAGGGAGGGAGGGATCGATCCGGAAGACAAGATCAAAAGTTAATAATTCAGACTGCCGGGGGTGGAGGGGGGGGTTGATGGGACATGGGGATGGGAGGTGTGGGATGGGAAGAAAGGTTTGCTCATTGATGCGATGAGATGAGAGTGAGCATGAGATGAGAGTGAGAATGAGACGAGATTGATCATTGATCGTTGATCATTGGATAAAATTGAAAAGTGGAAAACGGAAGGTGGAGGCACTGGAGGATGGAAAAGGCAATGGGCATGCAGGGTGAAAAAGAAAGTTCCGAGGGCTTGTAATTAATTATCCAGCAAGTCCCACCTGAAGATCAAAAAGTCGAGATACATATTGAGGGAATAATAATGTAACCCAAGTTAAGTTGTGAATACCTTCCTTACCCGCTTGCTCGACGTACACCGAGATAGAATACGGATTGACCAATGAACGTATGAGGTCGATAGACTGAGAGTTGTCGGATCTTAAGAATGCGTTCGTCCCAGCTTCATGAGTTGGTTTCATGGATCAGGACTCGAAGCCTTGAAGACTGACCATATAAGATTGCAGGACGGATGGAGAACATGCATGTAAGAACTTTTGGCCAGGTAAAGAAAGTGATGAGTAATGAAAATGAAAGCCAGAAGAATCATTGGAATCAAACAAGGATGCTTTTCTTTGGGGCTCCATAGTAAGAATTACAAACCTCTTTTCTCCATATTGATCCCACGTAGTAATATCCACTCCACTCCACTCCACTCTCAACTTCCATGTCTTGATAGTTTTTCTTACCGCATGTATTTATTCAACTTCAACTGTCCTTGTCCTCACTCGCGTGGTACAGATCCAAATACAACTAGAATTGAACCTCTTTTTCCCCTTCTCTGTTTCCCCTTCTCCCTTCTCCCTTCCCCCTTCTCCCTTCCCCCTTCCTCCCTTTTTCTCTAATCCACAAACATTGATTTAACTAGGAAATCCGCTGATCAGTTCAGCAGCTCCTGGGTTCTTCGACCTACCGAATGTGTTCCTTCCAAAGTTGGAATCCTAGATTGAGATTTCGTTATACTCTACAGAGTACATCATCCATCACTCACCTGGTGTAGTATACACTCCCCCTCCGCCCCATTTCATCATCCGCCGAACTTTTGAAACTTAGCATCATGAACTATCCCGGAAGACAAACCCTATGTAGATTATCCTCCACTGCTCTAGCCGGCTGTGCTGTACTTCTTATCCACGCCAAGACTTGAAAAGACTTCAAAAGACCTTTTTTTCATCGTCTTCACCTTCTTTCCGCCTCCTTATTTCCCACTACCAAGCCTTTAGCGGTAACCATACAGTGGTGGCATTCACCCAGTTCACCCATCTCACCAGCCAGGGCTGAGTCGACGCGCAGACCAAAACTTTTCGTTCGTGAATCGTACCCTTGGGATTGAGAGGCAAGAGGCGGAATAAAGTGGAAATAGTGGAACAGTGGAACCATGGAACGAATGAACCCATCCACCTGCTTATTCGGGGGACCCTTATCTGATCCTAGGCAATACACCTTATCTCCTAGGAGTCTAGGACCTACGTGGTCCCTGATTATTGATTTAATACTTACTACATAGCACACAGTAACTGTTCACCTCGCCTAGGCCCTGAATCTCCCCCGGAACCACGGCCTATTGGATCAACCCTGCACCAATCTTCATCCTTCATGCAACCGCCGAGTTCAAGACTTTTACTCTGCTCTGTACACTAATCTCCCTAATAATCCTGGCTGCGACATAACCATAATCAGGTACGGACAGGGCTGCAGAAATCCCTACCATGTCATTGATGTTCCCCCGATTGGATTTGGATCGAGAGTAATGCCAGCAGCTGATGAATGGAAAGTTGAAACCCCTGTTGTGAGACACCAGATGATGAAATCGGAAGTCGGAGGATTTGTTGTGCCATTTGACTTGCCAATGTTCAATTGTGTGCAAATTCAATTGCACCGCGGCCCTCGTACCCGATGACATTTGACATTCGACATTCGACATTGAACCCCATGAATTTGAAAATAATGAACTGCAATCCTATAGACGTGGAGGTGAAAGGGTTGAGCATGCAATACACAATACATAGCGACATAGCGGATATGTAGAGTCCCAAGGCAGTTAGTTGATCATCATGTTGTTTGTGTTTGTAACTTGAACTTGGGATTCCGAAGATCAGTTGCAAAGAGAGAAGAGCAGTGTAACAATCAATCAATGTCAATAGTCCAGTCCTAAAGGCTAAAAGGCTCAAGCCAATGCCACTCACGAGTCACTACTCACTACTCACTACTCACTACTCACTACTCACTACAATGCCGGTACCCTATCGGACATAGCCGTGGGGAGTCGGGACAGCTCCCACTCCGTAGATCCTAGACTCTCAGACTCCTAGACTGCTAAAGTTTCATGCCTTCCCCCCTTCCCTGCTCCCTGTATTATAGGACCCTTATAGCGGCACCCACAAAGCCACGAGTTGCCAAGTATTCCAGACTTGTTTCCCATCACCGTGTCACCACCATCACGCTGGAAAACTTACAGGTACGCTTTGAATATCATTGGCTGAACCGTTCAGTACCTGCATATGATTCTGATAGCCTTATCTTTTAGTCATGACAGGTGATGGGTAATCTTGCACACTTCTCTTTCCCCCTTGACGTCTTCTAGAAGTCGAATAGACGGTGAACTCAAATAGAGCCAACCATAGACATCTAGCTTCATATGAAAATACTGCCAATTCTCAAATTATATATCACACTTTAGAATACACAATGCCATGACATGGCTGCATCATTATATCAATACATCCATACATCAATATATTCACTCATAATCTCTAATTCGTATCCATAAACATCCCCGAGCATTACACATTACAACCGTTCCCTCCTCTACTCATCCATCATCCATCGTCTTATCGTCTCTCATGCAAAAAGAAAAAGAACACGTCACCAGGCCCATAGGCGCAGCGAGGAATACATGAAATCTAAGCCAATGGCAAAGCCAACTTACTACTTGACTTTCTGGTCATGACTTTCGTGATAGCATGTCTAATAACAACACCAGCCTTTTCAATCTCCTTTTTCGTGAGTCCTGTCGTGATACATACTTTGAGTGCTGGTTGTAATTTCCACTCTTCGTCTTTGCCATTACTGCCCGAGTAGATTGGCATACTTTTGAGTCGGGTTATGAGTACTCCATTTGCTAGTGTCTGGAGATTCGTTCGTTAGCTGATAGGCCAAAAAGTTAGGGGATGTGAAAAAATTGCTTGCCTCATCAACACATTCCTGCATGATGCGTTCCTGTTCCTCGGTACTTAAACGTCTCGAATTGATGATATCTTGCTTGAGGACGAGGAGCATAACCGGGTTGTCAATGGCGCTGGTACAGTGAACCCAATCACTTCTTGGATCAAGCTGAGCTCTCATTGCCTTGATATTCTCTCTGCATTGCACCAAAACATCAGGGTTAGTCTGTAGCATGTTGAGCGTTTCGCTAGCGGTGGTAGCCAGCATAGCCGGTAAAGCCGCGGAGAAAGTATAGGAAGCAGCCGTGATACGCTGATGCTCTACCACATCGTTTGAGCCTGCGCAGAATCCACCTCCGGCACATAGAGGTCCAGCTAATGATCCAATCAACATATCAATTTGTGACGCATCCACATTCTGAGCTTCCGTAAGACCGCGACCAGTTCTGCCAAGAACCCCAAAAGACCATGTCTCGTCCAACATCAGGCGGAATTTGTAGCGGAGTTTCAGTTCAATCTAATGCTTTGTTAGCTGCATCAATTAGCCAGGAGATGTATTTTGAACACTTACCAGCTTAGGCAGATCAATGCAATCACCAACTGTTTCGGACAATCCCTCTGTAACAATAAACCTTCTAGTCAATGGTCTTTTGGCTTGTTCCTTGATGACCTTCTGTAGTACCCTCTCCAAATCTTCCATATTGTTATGTTCAAAGTATTTCACTGTACTTCTAGAAATCTGCAGACCCTTCCTGATCGAGTAATTACATGCTCTATCGGCCACAATAATGTCACCTCTTTTACAAAATGCCGGAATCACACTGGAAATCGTAGAAAATGCATGTGCATACACAATGCACCCTTCAGTTCCCAAGCATGACGCAATATCCGCTTCCGTTTTCATGTGTACATCTTGAGTGCCGTAGAACTGAGGAGGTCCGCAAGGTCCTACGCCATAAGTTCGGAGAGTTTGGATAGCCTTCTCTTTGACTTGCTCGTTGCCAACGAAATTGTAGAAGTTATAGGATGCGAGATTCGTGACCGTTCGACCATTCGAGAGCTTCGACTTTGGACCGGTAGGTCTTCTCTTTGTTAACACCCTGGATGGAAATGCCGAGGGATAGAAAATCGGACTTACCCGACGATAATGGGCGTTTTCTCACTATCTGCCTCTTCAAAAGGAGTCATCTTTGAAACCAGCGGCTCTGGCTGCCATTCATCCACCAAATCATCAATCTCCTGGTAATGCACTCATCAGTCTTCATAAACTCGACCCGCAGAACAATCTCAATATGGAAGATTACTAACCTCCTCAGTCAATTGGACAAAATTGTTGTTGTGCGTCACATAACTCGGGGCTAACAAATATCGAATGAAGAAAATGACCAGAATCAATTCAATAACAGATCTGACTGGATCATCCTGATAACTTGATTGAATATAGCGGATGAGCATAGCAGAACCAGGCACCTTTTGAAAAGTCGATGTGATCTCGTTCATGGACGAGACCATGTACGATTGAATATCCTGAAGGTCCATTTTGACAAACACGAGAGCACAGAGAGCAATCGGGATGTTGTGGGATGAAAAGGAGAGAATCAGGTACTGGTAAAATGGGCGATTGGCAAAAAAAGTTCCCGCTTCCCGCTCGTACTGCTGTAGAAAAGTGCTGGTTTGTTTTAATGATGGATTTGGTCATCGTAATGGTGACTTGTTGCCGGTTTCGCGTAATCAAATGTCCGACGAGTGAAGTGGCACAGACAGTCTTTGAATAAATAAATAAATTTATAAATTTATCCTACATACTTTAATTACCTCTAGGAATTATATATATAATCAACTATAAAAAAGAAATAATTAAAAATGTATTATAGTCCATGATCTGTGATTTAAATTAAAAAGGACAAAGAAAATTATTAAAACTAATAGGATTCATACTAATATATATTATATTTGTCTACAACGAAAAAAGGGGACAATCAGATTTCACTGATTTCACTCAGATAGATCAAGAACATCCTTCATTGCATGGACAGGTCAAATTCAGGTCAGTATTCAAAGTGATCAATCACCATAAGATATTGAATAACCAAAAAATTTACTCATATTCATTTAAAGACTCTCTATTATCTTTGCGCTGTAGGACATGTTACAGCCGTAATTTAAACGCTAGTTGATTCAAGCCTGAGCATCCAGTATTGCATTCGGGTCATTATGGAACAGTAAAGGAGGAAGAAGAAAACAGAAAACAAATATCTAAAGCCGTTTACCATGCAAACACCCAAACTCAAATTTGGAAAACACCCCGTGTAGTGACGATGGCCACGCATCCATTCCAAAGATCGTTTTTTAATGTATTGCATACCATCCCATTCTATATTACAGCCCCGGAAGCCATCTATACAATGCCGAGGTTTAGAACAATCGAACCTTGGCAGCAGCAGTCTTGCTTGAAGTGGCAGAGGCTGTGGAGCATGTTATGCAACCAGTACCGGTCTGGTTGTAACCTCTCGTGTCATTGTTGTTCTGATTGATAGGCTGGAAGAGTTGCATTGGAATCTTTTTTATCAAGGAAGGGGTCAAAATCTTCTTGCCAACGACAAGTGGGCCCACAAGCAATGCGAGGAAGACGACAAATAGAGCGAAGTATATGACAGCAAACCGCCAGACACGTCTCTTTCGTAACTTGGATTGCTTCAAGGAGTAGATTGGAGGACGAATTTGACGACTGGAAGTAGTGAGTCAGCACATGATCTATGTAGAGATGAAATTGAAATAAACATACCTGGGACGAAGCCAGAAGAGCATCACAGAATGGAGCTTATCAATTTGAGGTATGGCGATGATGGGAAGCATGATGAAGAGAAGGAGATGACCAAGAACAAAGTCTCCAGCAAACATCCCAAGCTCAGTGATCTTACAAAGAAATTCACGACCAGGTTGGGAAATCGTGTGCCAACCCATGGAATACCATTTACCAGTCCAGAAAGCAATATTGGATGTGTCCGTCTTTAATTCTCTGGTCAGTGCTAGACTGATAATGAGCTTGTAGACAAATCTTTGAATGGCGGAGGACGCAATCATTCCCAACAAAGCCTTGGCGAAGTCAAATCCTTCCAAGAAGAACATGACTTCGAAGAATACCAGGCAGAAGACAACGGCAAGGGCATGTGCAATCGCGGCGAGAACGGATCCGAATTTCTTGCAACACATGCCAAGGAGAGGTCCCATACAACAAGCCATACTAAACATCACAGCCAGGACACCTGCGTTGACTGCAATAGGAGCTAAGGCTACAATGCCAACACGAACCAACGCGTTCGTTGCTTGAGTTTGGGCCCCATCGTTGATACTTGGAATGACACCAGTTTGGGAATTTATGAAGAGATATGGAATCAAGGTGAGAGCAACGATCATGAGAGGTCCGACGATTTCCCCAAAGAACAGATTGGAGAATGTGGCACGAGCAGTGTCGCCAGACATCTTTGCCGATGGGTCTCCAAGAATCTTGCGTTTATAACCTGTAATCTTAGTACGAGAGAGACGGCAGTAAGCAATCCAACTCGATGCGTGAGAACGGGAATTTCCGCGAGACAACCACCTTAGGTAGTCTCTGTAGTCAATGAAGAAATCGTTCCAGGCAAATTGATGAGGATTATACAAGAATGGAGAAATGCACAAAGCGAGTAGAGTAACCCAGAAGTATACCAACGCAGCTTGCCAGACAGTGATGGTTGCGAATAACAACATCATAAGTAATCTAGCTCCGAGATAAATCGAGGGACCGGCGAATCGAGAGAAGAGAATACCGAAGGGAATGCGGGCAGTAGCGAAACCACGACCCGTTCCGATGTATCGGGCACCACCGAACGAAAGATCTTGCTGAACAGAGTTCGCATAAATTTGACATACGAAAACTTCGAAGAAGGGCGACAAAGAACTGAATTGCTTTCCGAGACGGGTAGACGCACGCCAGAAACCACGCTCTGTCAATTCCTGTACTGTCAAGGGTACAAAAGAGATGAAGAACACGATGAAGATGGAGATAACGCAACGATAAACCCAGTTCGTAATGGGAATGATGTTTGCACAACCAGTTGGATAGAGTGGATCGGTAATAGGGACGTTGACGTTATACTTACACTCGATGACCTGGTTCCTGAGGGCTCCCAAGTTGATCAAACAGAGCATGAACAGGTTGACGGACAACATGATGAACATGTTGTTCAAATGGAAACCAGGATGGGCGTAGTAGAAGGACAAGAAGCGGTCAATAGGAAGTTGAGTACCAAGATAGTAATACTCACGCGAAAGCATTTGCTCACCCATACCAGTTCCAATCTTTGTGGTGAAGTTAAGAATCGAGCCAAAACCCAGATCACGACCTTTACCACACTGGTAGTACTCGCAATGCTTGATGCGACCTCCACGAAGAAGTGCAGTCATACCAGCATAAATATCCTCGTTAAGATGAAGACCCTTCTGAGCCTTGGAAACACCACCTCTCGTGGTCATGAAGATACCGTTCAGGAAATCAGGATGTCCATAATGAAGCTTACCACCAATGGCAGCAAGCGTACGTGCGAAGAGTGTACCGAATGTTTGTTCCTTTCCGGCAGCGACATCTCCCAAAATACCAATGTTCTCTGAGAAAATATATTCACGGGCACCCAGAATGGCAACTGGGGCGACCTTGGGGGTCGAGACACCAGGAGTGTAAGGAGAGACATTTTCAGTTGTCATTTCCTCGAACTCGGCCAAAACACTTCGAATCTTCAAGCATTCTTCCAAATAGTTGTCTTGATTGGCATCAATAAGTTGAATGTACTCGCCGCGATAAAAGATGATGGCATGGTTTTGGTTGTCGGATTTTCCATCACCAAGAATTGGGTTACCGGAAAGTTGAATGCGGAACTTGGGTCTGCGCATTCCATTTTCCATAATTTCGGAGTGACCATCAATGAGAGCGGAGTAAAGACGTGGCTCTTCCCCTTCGGCGAGAGGAGCTTCTTCGTCCAGGTAAGCGATTTGGAGATCAGGGTAGGCACGGAGGAGAAACTCGGTGTTTTCCATCTCCTCTTTCTTGAATTTGGCATAACGTTGCATAGAAACACAAAGCTTAAACTTGCGACGGGCCATACGCTCAAGCTCGCGTTCAAGCTTGTCCGAGTTGCCACCAAACATTTGAACGACTTCGGGATTTTCAACACGATAGAGAAGTTTAATAGCACGACTATAATTCATGAAACCAGAGATTGTGCGGTAAAGAGTTTGTGCTCTCAAAGAGGCCCAAATACGTGTGCGGAGAGTGTACTCGGGAGCGGCCGACTTGAAACCTATGCAATAGAAGGGAAGATCATCAATCTTGCTTTTGGCAGTATCCTTCTCATCCTTTTCGTAATCGCCATTAAATTGTGAGGTCTCGTCTGCAAGAATTTTGGTATCCTTCACGAAGCAATCCCACTCGTGAGGGTGCAATTGCTTCAAGTACTCAAGCATAGTAACGCGGGAGTATGGGTCGTCTTCACGAATGATTTCACGCAGGGAGAACAAAATCTTCTCTCCGTAATGCGGAATCATGACAGTGAAAGTTGGCATGTTGTCGACTGGAAGTGGTTCCGGAATAGGGGTTGACAAAGATTGAGCGAAGAAAGAGATACGACGCTCGGCCTCACTCTGGCTTGGGAAAAACTCGGTCTTGAAAGAGTGATCTTCCTGCGAGACGAAGAAAGTTGGCGCTCGGAGAGTTCTCTTGCCTTCTTGTTCGGAAGGAACTTGATGGTAGAGAAGCTTCTGGACGTGATCGATAGCAAGCAAATGCTCTCTGTACATGGAAATGACAATAGCGTTCCAGATCTGAGAGATGAGGACCTTTGGCTTGTACTTAATTTCCATATCGGTCGTGGCGAGAACCTTGGAATAAATACGCTTTGGCAAACGCGAGAAGATATTTCTCCATGGCGTCCAGATGGAAACACCGAGGTAGAAGGACCCCGCGACTGAGAAGACGGCGTTCATGATAATGTACCACATGAAAGTATCCAAGAAGAACAACGTAAGATCGGTGACGAACATTAGGCCAAGGAGAATCTTGGGCTGCAATTTGCAGAGGACATTGCCAAAAAGGTGGTCACCAGCACAGTAGGAGATTTCCATACTGGCTAAGTATCTGATAGGATCACGGAAGGACAAGGTCAAGAAGACGTAGGACTCGGCAAGTTTAGCTCCGAAGACAGTGATCCAGAGACCGTAAGACATCCACATATCATTACCAGTCAGACGAGGATAGCTGGCAGTAAAGGTCTGACTAGCAACGTACTGTCTAGAATTCCTGGTCAAATAACTACCAAACAATCCTCCCATGGGCATAATCGAGAAGAAGAAGTATGTGATGAGAGCGATGAAGAACTGGACAATGCCCAAAATTAAAGCAAGCTTCGTCTTCTGTGTGTTGGGGATGATGAAAATGTAAACACTTGGGGCGACGTTGATAATGAGAACAGCGATGAGGAACAACAGTTTCTTGGTCAAATGTTGAGCACCTGCCCATCGACGAGGAACGTAGGACCATTCACAGATTGTAGCGATGACCATAATAAGACATGCAATTGCACCACCCAAGGCAACCGCAGACCACTGCGCAGAACCAGGAGGTTGATTGTTCAACTGTTGTTGGTAATTCTTTTCCAGGAGTGTTGGCGAATTCTTAGCAGTAAAGAACCAGAAGGCACTGATGTGGATAACCCAAATGCGATTGAAGTTGACCAACATGTGGAACCAAGAACGTTTTTCGAGGTACGTTTTGAAAAACGACTTATTCCAGTTGACATCCTTGAGTTTGAGATAACGTTCCGCAATGGGGAGATCCACCAAGCGAGACTTATCTTCCAGGACGATTCTCTCAATACCTTCGGGGTACCAAAACAGTTGGTTGCAATCATCGTATCCGATAATCTCATTGTGATCCCGTTCTCGTCGAACATACTTGCCCTCATAAATTTCATAGCCTTGATCTCGACAGTATTGGTAAAGAGGCGTTATAATATTGTTGAGGAATGTTAATTCCTCCACTGGTTCAACCAAGTTTTGACAGGCAGGAGTGTTGAGATAGTCATCTGCACATTTGAAAATGAAGCAAAGAACTTCGGGCATGAATCGAACCTGGTTGGCTTCACCCCAGCAGAGAAGGTAGAGAGCCAATTGACGAACTCGATCGTGTTGGGACATTCGGTTCATACGAGTCTTCCATCTGTACTCCGCAGCCTCAAGGCTGTTATCACCCTCCATTTGCTCAAGGGTTTGCGCCTCGTTTTGAGGATCCGGTGCTGCTGCCTTGGCTGTTTTGCGGGCTTTGCGAGTGCGACGATTCCCTTTGCCAAATTTCATGCTGGCGAATCCCACCGCGTCATCTAAATCGAGATGAGCAGCAAAATACCATTTTCGGTAGTTGGCATTGTCACCACCGATATAGTCTGCGTGTAGTGACAGAAGGGCTTGATTCGGGGTCATACGCGAAGCTCTTGAATCGAGCAGAGTCATCAAATGATCGTAAACGTTTCTCATGCTGTCACGCTGGAAACCAAACTTGGCCGTCAAATCCAGGAAAATGTCCTCAACTTCTTCTTTGGACAGAGGAATTTGAGCGTCCGAGGTCCAGGCAGGATACGGCTCCTTAGATCGCTGTCCAGCTGGAAGGACGTTGTTGTAGTCCATGCCGTAATTTGGCGTCGATGCTCCGGAGGATCTATTACCACCATATGAAACTTGTGAAGATGGTGGTCTGTAACCACGGCCACCCATTTGACTCTCATTGTAGCTGTTGTATCTCTCGTCACCGCGTCCATAGTAATCCATATCGGTGGCTCGAGCCATGTCTGATCTCATGGTGAAGTCGCTGAAGGTCTCGGAATCCTCTTCTGAATCGCCTCGACGTTTAGCTTGGGGTGCCTCACCGCCGGCTGCACCCCCCTGATCATAGTACTGATCGTTGTAGTATTCATCTTGATATTGGCCTTGGTGCTGATCACCACCTTCGTAGTACCCTCCCTCTTGTTGATATGGATTGTTGGCATCAGCATTGTAGTAGCCTCTGTAAATTGCTATCAGCTCCCAGTCCATCCAGAAAATATTCAAGTCACTTACGATTCATCATAGTATCCCTCAGCACCTTCTTGCTGATGACTCCCGTGGCCCTGTTCGTAGCCACCATTATTGTCATAATATTGTTGTCCTCCGTGCTCATCTTGGTAATAAGAATCGGTATTGCCCTGTTGATGGCCGTAGCCTTCGTCGTATTGACCACCTTGTTGTGGTGGGTGTCCCGACATGATTGCGTTCCAAATTATTTACTGGTAGGTGGAATGTTAACATTGAGATCTGAATGGTTTATCACAGATGAACTGGGCGCGTAGGTAAGAAGTATCTACTCCGACTCCGCTGTGCCCGACCGCCGTAATTGGCGTGTGATAATTGCAGGTGAATTAGGGAGGAAAGATTCAAAACTCACAAATTAAAGGCACATTGGAAGAGTGAATGATTCCGGTCAAGTCCTTGAATCGAAAACGTGCTGGACAAAAATGCTTGAGATGCGGTCACAATTGATGGCCGTAGTGTAAATTAAGAAAGGCGAATGGTTCGTTCGTTCTTAGCTGGAAAGCTGGAAACCTTTTCGTGGGGATGAATGGAATTGAAATTGAATAAATGAGGTTACAAGAACTTGGCCTTTCCGAAAATAAGGTTTATCTTCTTTCGAAAAAGTCGAATGAGCTGTAAAGAGTGACTCTTCAATTATTAAAAAAAAAGTAAATATGTTGATGATTTTGAGAAGGAAGCCCAGATGTGGTGAAATTCCCTTTTTTTCCCCTTTAATTTTCGGTGATTCGTTCGCCGCTGCTTTGGTATTGTCTGATTTTGTTAGGGGCGGCTGGTTGGCTGGTTGTCCTTCCTACGAAACTCGAACTAATTTGATTACTTGTCGTGTTAAACAGGGGAAAGACAAGTGCTGAGAACGAATGTTGAAATGGCAACAAAAGCCAGTTTACAATCAAAGTGATAACCAATAATGAGAGGTGAAAAGCAGTCCTGGGAAAGGAAACTCCTTTCTTGAGATTCTATTTCAAAGATGTTGGTATCTTGTGTCTATTTGTGATCGTTCCCAAGAATGAGAGATCGGGGCGGGAAAAGAGAAGAGAGGGTGAAAAAGTTGTGAAAAAGGAGGAAGAAGGGACTTAGAGTAGGTAAGTTAACTTAATACTAAGGAAACTCGCTTTAAGTTCGTTATAAATCAACTTGGCATTAAGACGGGGTGGTGGTTATTGTTTTGGGATGGGGGTAGGGGGCGGGGGTGGAAAGAGAAGGTTGTTTTCGTCAATGATGAGATATGAATTGAGTGGATCTACCAGACAAGCCCAAATAGGTGCAGTAAAAGTCGAAATCTAGCTTCGCGGAAGAGAGACAAATGAGTGACATTACAATCGTGGGAAATAGGACAATAGAAAGAGGCCTGGCTGGAGTGGGCTGTTTCTATGTGGTAGCTTCAAGCTTTCAACTGGTCCATCTGATGCACAATGTTGCGTCTCCAAGTCCCAAGTAAAGACGTGAAGTCAAGCATAGCATTACTCCGTATGGTAATTGAGATAATCTTGGGGAACGAAGGGAGGAAAGGGATGCTGCCTCATTGAGTTTAGATGAATGTACTTCTAGAATAAAATACAGATAGATATTTAGAAGGTTTGCATTAAGCTAGGGATGATGGATGGAACTTGGAAGCTTTGAATTGGTTGTGTTTGAGTTGGATTGACTCGTCTACCAGAAAACTCAGGAGAGGATAAATGGATAAATAGTGCGGACAATTGATTTGATTGGCAGAGGAAAGTTCTAGAGTCTGGTTTAGTTATCATAGTGGGTATAATAAGTGTGAACTTTGAAGAAAACTAGCAAAGTAGTATTTTCTACTTGCTGCTTTATGGCTCAGTGCCCTTTTCTTTTTCTCTTTCCATGTCATCGCTGGGTTGGGCGAATGCTAATTCAGGGGCACGTAAAGGAACTTCTCCCGTTTGTAATGAGACCTAGTACACCTTCCAGAAAGTCGATGGATGAATAGGGAATTTGTTCATTTCCATCCGACTACTTGATACTGCTTGATGGCGTCTCTTCCTTCCCAAATCAAGACAAGAGTAAAAAGCTTGTCCTATCTCCATATCCACAAGGCGTTTATGTCCTATAATAGTCATGTTCTTGCCCTTCCATCAGACTTCTAGAGGATGAAGGTCATAGATTATCGATTATCATGGCACAGCATCGTCACCCCTCTCACCCATGTCATTTTGCCTCACCAAGACGGGGGTATCCATTAATAAATTTCTTATCGACATCATTCTAGTTATATTTACTCCGAGAGCTTCATCTTAATTCCAGGTCATAACCTCGACTGTCTCGACCCATCTCGACATTGATTTTGTTTCTTTTTATCCAGTTCTCCAAACGCTCGAGTATCTAGATGGATTGGATAACTTTGCGACTCCTATGTGGTGAAGTCATTGATGACGGATCAACCATACCATGGGTGGAACGAGACAATCAAACGGTAAAAAGGGGGTTAAAACGGCAACTGATCTCAGTGCTGGGTGGGTACTGTGCCACAGGGAGCGGGAAAGAAACAGGCGGTGCATGCATGAATTATAACTTTTTGCGAGTGAACCAGGAATCTAGGCTAGCTGGCCAGCGACCACTTTTTATTTGCTTGTCCACCTCTAAAAAGATCTGAAGCTTGAAAGGATGTACGGAGTATGATCTATGGTGCTGCCTCGAATGGTTGGCAAATCAATAGTAGAGCGGATTCTCTGAAATGGTACTGCGCCGGTCAAATATCCTGCAAAAGCAGCAGGCAGCAGACACTCGGCTTGAATTTATATGGTAAAGCGGGCTTTTGAATTACCATAGGATTTCCATAGGAAATTCGTCGAAAGAGATGGGATTTTCAATCCTGTCCAGTTGGTTCTCAGTCGAGTTTCTAGTTGTTGAAATGCTTTGAGTCCTCCTCGCATTGAATTTTGAAGTGACTGATTTATTTTCCCTACCCTAGACCAGGGCAACAGGCATGGTCATTAACTAACTACTCGGCCACTATTATCGTCCATATTTTTTCATGTTAGATTCCCGGCCTTCCGACGACTTCACATTACTAGTGAGGGTTAGAAGTTGGAGCCATCAACAAAAGAGAAAAACCTGGCTAGTTTTTTACTTGATTCGTACCTGTCCCAAAATAGATCAGAGAATGTTTCCAACTTTTGGGTGACGATTCAAATGAGCTGTGAAATGCATCTGGGCCATGATTGGATAATGCTATTGTGCAACCCGCAAGGCTTGTTTGCCTGCAGGACAAGCACGATTGACGGCCGATAGATTAGTACTATAGGGCAAAGGTTGGATCGGTTATCGGGAAAAGTCGATAGGAATAGCTACGCTGCCAAATTCAGAGCCAATGGACTTTTTGATAATTGTGTATAACCATCTTCCATTCCCTATCAGGATTGCGCATGCCTCCTCGTATTAGATTCAGCCAATCTTTGGAGGCAGTGCACCAAAATGTATTTCGAGGAGGTAGTTGTTCGTTGTTTATCTCACTTATAACATGCGATGAAAGCCGCATACGATATGGGCAATTGATTGATATGAAAATCCCAAGATGACCTCGAGTTTTGGTTTCGGACGTGATACAAGAGTGTAACATCATCCATCTTGCAGCAATTATCCCCTTAAATGCGAGAATTTGGAGTGGGAGGAGTGGCATCGTTGATCATTACATACATGAATACGTATGTGGATACGAGCTTCTTGTCCATACTACACACACTACCTACGGACATATTGATTGATTTATTGGAACTTGGAATTCGAGCGATGCGATATAGCTTTTCATACCTAGTGAATGAATGAATTTCCGACAATTTCTTTTCAATTGGTATTCTGCGTTCTTGGGCAGTAATGATTTCCAAAAGCACTCCCAAATTCCAATACTCCAAGTACTCCAGTCAGCTACGACCGAATCTCGAACCATACGTACACATACAATACAAGTATCACTCCTTAATTTATAATTAGTTGGGGCTGTGTGCCTCCAGAAGTATTCAAATTAAGATCAACCAAATATCCCGGGCGAATAGCTATCATGTTTTAGGTAAGGTTTTATGGAGCACAGTACTTTGCTTACTCGGTATGTTCAGACGTGTTGTATTCAAATGCCTCATGAATCGCTGGAGTCAGTCAGCTAGATACAGAATCCAGAGTAAGTTCTAATAAAGTGTGTGAGTTGAGGCTATTGATGTTGATGTTGGTGGCAGCGACAGTGACAGTGAGTGGCATTGGTAGTGATTTTTTGTTATAATCTTATTTTATTTTCATTTCGCATCATTTTATGTCATTCCATTCCGTTCACTCCATTGTCCACTTGCACGTAGCGAACTTACGAATCACTGTCCAATACCTAGTCATGAAATCATGAAATACGAACACATCTTTTAATATCATTGGATCAAATTCCACTGCCCGTATATGGATCGGCATGTTTCCTTCCTCTTCATGTGTTTGTTGTTCCTTTCCAGAGGTAAAAGTCTTTTTATAACTTGACTGGGCAGGTATGTAGATAGGTAACTAAACTCTAAGAGACTCTAGGAGACCCAAAATACAACCCAAGGTACAACCTAAAACACTCCAAACACCAAAAGCACCACCCAATAATCAATCTAATCTCTCTAACCAGGAACAGAGGAATAGAGGAATAGAGGAACACGGGAACAGGAAGAACTTAGTGCCCGACTTTCAGACCTTCACATCTTCAGACCTTTCACATCTCGTACTCCGTAAATCTCCACTCCCAATTTTATCCCCATTGAATCATTTTTCCCGTATTCCCCTAAATTGTTCCTGGATTCAAATCTCTTTGCCACACTTAATGCGACCTTGTTAAATCCCCTAACCTCCATACTTCTTTCTCGACACTCATTTGTCATTTTTTTAATCTTCAAATAAGAGCATAACCAAAAACCATATTCATTTCGAACCACTTCGAAAAACAAGTCACTCGTTAAATTTATTTCTTTTCTATTCTTTTTTAACCAGGACATCTGCAGTGCTGCTAGAGAAGAGAAATTACATCACCAATACACTCGTTCCTTCTCTCCTAAAACTTATCTGAGACAGAATTAGATTCGACCCTGTTGTCTACCCTTCACCTACCTCTTTGAATGGGACTGGATATTTAAATTTCATCTCATCAAAAATCATCTCTCATCCATCTATCGCCACCAAAATTAACATTCTAGCATACACACATTGGTATTCCAGTTACCATCATGAAGTCCTTTGACTTTGCTTCAGCTGCCGCTGTGGCATTGACCGGCGCCCTTTTCGCGTCGTCTGCTGCCGCTGCTGATCTCCCCTCTATCGTCATCAAGGTACGCCATGCATCTCTCCATCCGACGTTGTTTAAAATGAGTTCAAAGACTGATCCATACACTAGGGCTCCCATTTCTTCTACGAGAATGGCACCGAATTCTTCATCCGTGGTGTAGCATACCAACAAGACGTCAACGCCAACACGACATCCGGTGCTACCTTCACGGATCCTCTTGCAGACGAAGCTGGGTGCAAGCGTGATATTCCTATTCTCCAGGAGCTTGGCACCAATGTCATCCGTGTCTACGCCATCAATTCCTCATTGGATCACTCTGTTTGTATGGGCTTGCTTAACGATGCTGGAATCTATGTTATCCAAGATTTATCTAACCCATCTTCCTCTATTGATCGAAGTGACCCAGAATGGAACACTGATCTCTATGCCACCTATGCCGGTGTTGTTGAGTACGTATATCTTGATATTTGTCAACTATTTTACTACCATGTCCATGGTCCCCTTCTTCTCCGCTTAATGTCAAAGCTAGGGCTTTTGCATCTGTTGCTGTCGAGGACACTCTGCTAACATTTCCGTCTTCCAGTGCCATGGCTCAGTACACCAACGTTCTCGGTTTCTTTGCCGGTAACGAGGTATCCAACGACGTCAACAACACTAACGCCAGTGCTTTCGTCAAAGCTGCCGTCCGTGACATGAAGGCTTATATTAAGACTAAGAACTACCGTACCATCGGTGTTGGTTATGCTACCAACGATGATGCCAACATTCGAATTGACTTGGCCCACTACTTCAACTGCGGTGACGCGGATTCTGCCATCGACTTTTGGGGTTACAACATCTACTCGTGGTGCGGTGATTCTTCCTTTACTAAGTCAGGATATGATCAACGAACGGCCGAGTTTGCCAATTATTCTGTGCCTGCATTCTTTGCCGAGTATGGTTGCAATGTGGTCCAACCACGTGAATTCACTGAGGTCGGGGCAATCTACGGTGATCAGATGACCGAAGTCTGGTCTGGTGGAATTGTCTACATGTATTTCCAAGAGGCAAACGATTATGGTGAGATGTGATCCATTTATTTTGAAGCAAAATCTAACCGAATTTAGGTCTTGTATCCGTCTCGGGAGATACCGTCAGCAAGCTTCCAGATTTCACTGCCCTTTCGAAGCAATTGGCTTCCGCCACCCCTAGCGCCACCAACTCTGCCTCCTACACTGTTACCAACACAGTAGCACAAGCATGCCCAGCAACTGGTACCGCCTGGGCTGCATCTAGCAATCTTCCTCCTATCGCAAACGCTGATCTTTGCGAATGTATGGTCACTTCCTTATCCTGTGTTGCCAACAGCGGTATCTCTGGTAACTCCAGTGCCGATCTCTTCGACTACGTTTGTGGTTTGGACAGCGCCGCCTGTGATGGTATTTCAAAGAACGCTACCACTGGAGTTTATGGTGCCTACTCCATGTGCACAAGCGCTCAACAGTTGTCTTTCGTTTTCGACCAATACTACCAAAAGCAGAACCAGGCATCCACTGCCTGTGACTTCAGCGGCAATGCTAAGACTCAATCTGGCTCGCAAAGCTCGAAGTGCTCTACCCTTTTGAGCCAAGCCGGAACTGCAGGAACTGGTACTGTTACCAGCGCACCAACTGGTACTGGATCTTCAAGCAGCTCATCACATTCATCGACCTCCACCAAGAAAAGTGCTGCCGGGGCTACTATCGTTCCACGCTTCGACTTGGGCTTGCTGCAGTTGGGTGCCTACCTCGTGGTTGCTGGAATGACTGGTGCTGGTATGGTCATGTTGTAGATGTAAATATTTGGCATGATGTAGCAGCTGCCTTTTGGCTACTTTTGGATGGAGGCATGAAGGTTTTACTTTATAAATTGACGCGATAGTAATAAGCATTGCTATTCATTCTTTGATTCTCATTTTTTCGTCGGAGTCATTTGATTTTTCTCGATGTCACCTTGATACCAATCGAAGATCATAATTTGTATATTAAATCATAAACTGGGAAAATTTTGGAGAGTGTGAAAAGAAACTACTTACCCGTTGTATAATCTAAGACTTACTGGAAATACGTGATTATTTAAAATGTGTACACTAGCAATCATGGAAAGCCAAATTTCAATTACCTTGGTATAATAGATATTCGAAATTATACGTAAAGGCCTCAATATTTAGGCATTCAATCAGCGGTATCTAAGCGACAAGCACATCATCACGCTTCGATGATAAGCTCGAATTGGTGTATTTTTCTTTGTAGATAACAAACGACTTCATAAGGTCAACCATTCAATTGAAATTCTTTTTGCTCTCCATCCGGATTTTTGCTTCGTGCTGCTGTCATCTTATTATTGAGTCACCAATTTCTAATTTGATCAATAGGCAAATTGAAGAAGCAACGGCGCTGGAAAGGAAGATTAGCGTGCCTTTCGTGGGGAGAGGAACAGATAAACGAACGAAATGGCGGACGTAGCAGCAGAACTGGACGAAGGAGGACTGAAGAGAACCTTAAAAGACTTATTTGCTGGGGCTGCTGGAGGTGTGGCACAGGTTCTATTGGGTGAGTCTAATTTCGTACTGGGGTTAATGTAATGAATGCTCATGGTTTGGGATTGGGATGACTCACGTGAGGACAGGGGATCTGTTGGGAAGTGGGATTGTCTTTGAGTGAGAGCATTGATATGGATTTGGTACCCTGTTTGATGAGCTCGATAATAGTTCTCGATGTCAAGCCTATATCCTTACTTTGTCTTTGCTATAAGAGCTGAGAATAATGCAACGAAATGATCTGACCTCCTACCAGGCCAACCATTCGACATAGTCAAAGTCCGTCTTCAAACCACTACGCAATACGCAAATGCTCTCGAAGCCGCTCAAACCATCTACCGCAATGAAGGTGCTCTTGCGTTCTACAAAGGCACCCTCACACCTTTGATCGGTATCGGAGCCTGTGTTTCCGTTCAATTTGGAGCATTCCACCAAGCCCGTCGCTACCTCGAGAATTACAACGCTTCCCGCAATCCCCTATCTCCAGGCCTTTCCTATGCACAGTACTATGCCGCGGGTGCGTTTGCCGGTATCGCCAACTCGGGCATCTCTGGTCCTATCGAACACGTGAGAATTAGATTGCAAACCCAACCCCACGGTGCAGGAAGACTCTACAATGGTCCCTTGGATTGTGTTAGAAAATTGTCTGCACATGGAGGTGTTTTTAAAGGTCTCTATCGTGGTGAAGCCGTTACCATTATGAGAGAAGCGCAAGCCTATGGTGTATGGTTCCTCTCTTTCGAATACATGATGAACAGCGACGCAGCCCGCAACAAAATCGAACGCAAAGATATTCCGAGCTGGAAAATTGCTCTTTATGGAGGTCTTGCTGGAGAAGCATTATGGTTGGCTAGTTATCCGTTTGATGTTGTCAAAAGCAAGATGCAGAGTGATGGGTTTGGGGAGAAGATGAAGTATAATGGGATGAGGGACTGCTTCGCAAAGACGTGGAGGGCGGAAGGTGCAAGAGGATTCTGGAAGGGCATTTTCCCCACGTTGTTGAGGGCAATGCCAGTCAGTGCGGGAACATTTGCGGTGGTGGAAATGACCATGAGAGCGATCTCTTAGGCGATTCAGGGGGTTAGAAGGGTGGTACAGTGGATGTCTTGGATGAATTCACGAGGTGATGAGAATGACGCTAAGTAGCTTTCCATATGAACTGTTTCAGCAAGAGCGAAAGCGGGAGCACAAGCACGGCATAGCATAGCATAGCATAGCATTAGCAATGAACCATTGGACAAAATAGATATATTTCCATTCAGCTTCCTGCCTTAGCCTTTACAATATTCATAGAGTCCTACTAAGGCACAATTCAAGTCTAGGAGCAATGAATCTAAGTACTATGTTCACCCGATCATAAATTCATTCATACTTATTATCTAATCTTCAAAATGTGACATCTCAATTTCCAGGCTGTGATTGATACATGGGATCAGTCTTTCGAGTCTCGACATTTTGCATATATTCCCCCAGTGAGCCCGTGAGCCCCTGCAGTCACACATCTCCTCCAGCCGAGCTTTGCGTGCAGACTTTTTCATAGGCCTCCTCGTGATGAAATGATATATTTACTGGTGACCTAATTTTCTCATACATCTGCATTAAAGCCCGTTATCTAATCATATCATCTACCCTAAGTTATTTACCTGGGTGTTTTCTTTCTTCTACTGCATTATTAGTATCGGTATCGGTATTGGTGCTCTCAGCACTGGCTGTGAATACCTCTAGAGAATCGTCAAATCACGTGCCCTCATGATGATTCTTTGGGATGGTACTTATTCTTGGTTTGACAGCTGCCTTTGATGATGAAAGACAGATCGAGTAAATAGTAGTAAAGTCATAATCGATTTGATCTAACTATAGCCAGTGCTACGCGGACGATGCGATAGGCCTATGATATGTACATTATAGATTAAGTAAATATACACTATGTAATTAGTATATATACTACTTTTGTATCTATTGTGTTTTGACCTATGCAAGCATCTTATTTATCGTGATCTGGCTAAGCTTCCTTCGATGTCTCCAATTCATCTAGAGTTCCAGTAGTCAAGTAGCTAGCTATTCGTCTTACGCCAGCTGTTACTAACAAGCCGTGGGAGTTCCATTTGACAATTCATTCCATCGTTCTGGTAGAACCACTACCACAAGTTCAAGTATCCACCTCAGCCATATTGTAATGACCCATTTGCTGTGCATGACTAGCCGCTTGCGTTTCTCCATGGACGATCACGCCGCAATCTTTACACTTAATAGCCATCCCTCCGGTGTCAGTAAAATAATGCTTTTCCCTTAATTTGGAACATAATTCTACTGCTTTGGCGATTATCGTGTCGTCAGAAGTATCAAATATTCGGATGTCATTCTCAGGGCCTGAGTAAGAGGGCGAAAGGGCTAGCATGTCGTAGTGGATTCCAGAGTAGACTAGAATGCATCGGTGTCTGGAGACGTTTTCGTGGAATTTGTGGATGGAGAGGGACTTGAGGTCGGTTAGCGTTGGTTATTGGAATTAAAGATGGCTTTAAATTCCTTGTGTGAAGTGCAAGAACGAGTACAAAATCGACAAGAATAACATACCTGAACATCAATACAAACAACCTCCATGCCAAATTGCTCGGCCAAAATGCCCATCTCAATAGCACCGCCCCAAGCATCAGGAGTTTGAATCCACCGACAGTAATCGTCCGGTTCTTGTTCTAATACAACTTTGCTATAAATTTCGGGGTTGCCTTGAATAGTACTGGCCACGATGGATCGAAGCTCGGGCATTGAAAGGTCATCACCTGGGAGGACGGCCGTTCCAAAAGCTCGAAAAAGACAGGAATTATCATCGGGCATGACACGGAGAACTGGAGGAAGTTAGTAAGATGATTAATGCCGGTTTTAGATGGACCTGGAAGATATCAAATGGAAGTTGGGGAGAAATACCAATCGTAGCGTTAAGTTCTGGTATTGGGACCTCGGGAACATCACCAGCGATGCCCCTCTTACGTGAAAGAGTTACAGGAGGTGCTGATTTTGCCGAGTTCGATCCTGATGTTGCTTTTACATCGCCATGCATTCCAGAAAAAGAAAAAGACTTTGCTTCAGCCGTCTGAATATCTCTCACCTGGGGAGGAGTAGACGATGTTTTAGAGGAAGCAGAGGGTACAACAGATTTTGGCGATGCATCTAACCTGCGTTCTTCTCTTGAGCTTATTGTGAGTTGTTCACCATTCAATGTAATGTCCAACTTGCTCAGAGGTAAAGAAGGTTCGCTTTGGGAAAGGAGGAGTGGTTTTGGTGGATAACCATATTTAATATCGAAATTTTTGAGTGATGTTTTTGAAGTGATTTCAGATAGGAGATCACTAATTTTAGCATTGTCGGGAAGGCTTATGGTGGAAGTCCCTTCTGGTCCTCGAATACGCATCCTAATACCGGGCATCTTGGTGTCTTGATATTGGCACGTGGATAACGAAAGTGATTCTTGGTATGCGATTTGTAGATTTATTATGTGGATGATTAAATGCTTTTAAATTCGTGAATCATCTAAAATACTTAGTAAGTGGTAATATCGTCTAGAAACGTATAGAAAGAAGCAAGCATGTATGGTTTATATTAGAAAATGTTTGTGGCGAAAGGGAGTAAATGGTGTCTCTCTCTCTTCAATTCTGGCAGCTTACCAAGGATAACTCATCTATACACGTGACCAAACCATTGTCGGTTGTGGGGATCGCGCTCCAACGCGATTATACATTATACTCGAGCTCCCTCAAAAGCGACAAATCCTTAGCAACACAAACCCCGCGCAATAGTTGCATTAAATAAGAAAGATGGAGTCGCCTATGCCGACCCCGATTCAGGATGAATCGACTGTCAAGAAAGAAGAACCCACGACATCCAATGATGTTGAAATGACCGATGCGCCAGAAGCAGAAGCCGAAGCAGCTGCTGCGAAGCCAGACACAAAAGTAACGGAAATAGCCCCAGAGCCAGTTGGCTCCCTTGCGACGGCCCACGGTGTTACAAAGGATGGATATACTGTTATGAATGAGGTGGTACACAAATTGTCTGAATATCGCACTGAAGAGTAGGTCAACTGAGTCGGCGCATTTATTTTTTCAAAAGATATGCTAATATAGTATTAGTGGTTACGACATTTCACAGCTATTTCAGCGCATGCTCAACAAGAGGTTTCTACCAGACTACTTCGAGGTGATTAAAGAACCTACTGCATTTAGCACAGTTAGGGTATGTATTTCTTACCTAGAAATGCGCACGAATGAATCTAATGACACCTCGGTAGCAAAAAATCCTTAAGAAACAATACAAGAACTTTAGAGAATTCGTCCGCGACTTCGCCCTTATATCACATAATGCGCAAGTTTACAACCGCCCGTCTGCAGCCGCATATCACGACGCCATTGCGCTTAGAGAGTTGTTCAAGAAGGAAATGCAACAATTGGTAGATGGAAAGGTTCTTACTGCGGAGGAAGTAGAGCTGCCTGATCTTGGGGAGCTCCCACCTGTCGAAGATTCACCACCACCGGGCCCGGAAGACGAAGAACAGGAGGATGATGACGAGGATGATGAAGAGGATGATGAGGAAGACGATTCGGACGATGACGGCGCAAAACGAAAGTACAAACGTAAAAATCGACGTTCGAGCATGAACAGGCGAGACGGGGGCGATGAAACTGTAAAAGAGCCTGAAGAGCAGAAGAAGCGCGGTAGGCCACCTAAGGTGCATACTCCAATGGAAGCTCGCATAAATAATATCCTAAAAGGATTAAGGAAATTCAAAAATCCTAGAGGAGAGCTCAAAATTGCACCATTCGAGAGACTGCCCGATAAGACCAACATGCCAGAATATTACCAGGAAGTTAAGGCTCCAATGGCAATGGATCTTATCAAAAGGCAGGCAAAGCGCAAGAAGTATGAAACTGTGGGTGAAGTTCTTAAAGATATAGAGCTCATGTTTGATAATGCCAAGGCATTTAATGAGGAGGATAGTGAGGTATACAACGATGCAGTGTTCCTTCAAAATGAAGCTAGGGCTCTTGCTGAACACGAGAAGAATAGACCAGATGAAGACTTTGCTTCCGAAGATGGACGAATTCCCCTGAAAGAAATACTTTATAAAGGCGAGGTGTGGAAGGTTGGCGACTGGATCCACATAATTAATCTTAACGATGTTACGAAGCCAGTAGTTGGGCAAATATATCGAACCTGGCGGGATATCGAAGGACAGGACTGGATTAATGCTTGTTGGTATTTACGGCCTGAGCAGACAGTTCATCGCTATGACAAGCATTTTTATGAGAATGAGGTCGTCAAGACTGGACGCTATATTGATCATAAGATTGATGATGTTGTCGACCGTTGCTTTGTCATGTTTTTTACAAGATACTTCAAAGGACGTCCTCGTAATTTCCCTGCAGACAAGGAGATTTATGTTTGTGAGGCGCGTTACAATGAACATGCATTCAAGCTCAACAAAATCAAAACCTGGGCTAGCTGTGTACCAGACGAAGTGAGGGAGAAAGATTATGAAATGGACCTCTTTGACACTCCAAGGCCTATGAAAAAGTTTCCAAGCCCGATTAAGCATCTACTTCGTGATGATGCGACAGAACATGACGAAACACCAAAGCCTACACTTGGCGTAAAAGGGGCGCCTCCTATTGTCGGAGCTGTGCATAAACTGCCTCGTGCCGAAAATGTAAGTGTTATCCCTTAAGATGTGCCAGTCTGCATATTCTAACATTATAAAGGACTCTCCTCCACCATCGCCCACTCCACCTCTGACATCTCCTCTACCAAATCCGGAACCAATTCGTCCTCCGCCTCCGACCGATAGACCTAGGTTCGATTCGCAGGGTGACATCTCAATGACTGGAACGACTCCAAGCGCTACCGCCTCGCCCATGATCAGTCAGCACTCAACTCAACCATCATACACGCAATCTTTTGCACAAGCTCGCCCGTCTGCCTCCCCAGCACCACCTCAGCATACTCATTCATACAGCTCGCACGGAACTGCGCCAGTTGTACCCCCAACTCCATCATATCAAGCAAGCACTTATAACCATCATACTACCACAACTCCAACCGCTACACATCACCACTCAAACCCACTAGCCAACTATCAAAGTTATCACAGCAGCAGTACACCACGCGTTGGTGGCGCTAGTTCAAATTCACATGTCTCGCATGGTAACGCATATAATCCACCACGCGCCATTGAAGTCTACACACTACCTGATGCTGCCAATTCCTCTATCCCAGCCGATGTTCGATCGCAATTTCACACAGACGAATTTGGTAGGATCATTTTCTACACCTCACCACCCATGGATTACAATCCAATTCCGGATGAGTCGCAAGGTCTAGGACATAGCTTGAAGTATCTAGCCAATAAAGTGCGACGTAAGGAAGAGCTGGAGAAGAAACGCAAAAACCGTGAAGTCGAGCTGGAAATCGAAGCTAAGGAAAGATTGAAGCGTACGAAAGCTGAGGCCGAAGTTAGAAAGCAAGCTGTACTTGATACTCAAGTTAAGTCTATCAAAATCTGGACCGAAAATTTGGAGAAGGGTACGGGGGTGCTCTCTAAACAGTTAAATAATGGGCTTTAAGGGGAAGTTGATGGCCTTGGGGTGCGAACGAATTCCGCGAATCGTTGAACACAAATTATGGTTCTGATCATGCGAGTGATGTACAGAAACGGGAGGTACCACGGAAAACATTACAGACAAGTATTGTAATGAGGCTAGAGAAAGACACTAAAAAAGCTCAGACTTTGAATGTGAAGTCAGAAGAACGAGGAGATGAGGGACACTAGGACAAACAAAGAGTGGCGTTTGTGACATGAAGATACAAGCTTTCACTGGCGAATAAATGAATGATAGTTGTTTGGCGGGGTGTTTTGGCGTTAGTCGATTGAGAGCATTGATTCAAACGAACGCGGTTTCTCAAATTGTTCATACCCAGAGGAGCTTTCATGGAATTGCTTCGTTAGAGCGGGATTAAAAGCTCATTGAATTATCATGGGCTAAAAAATTTACCAATTTGATTAATGAGATTCATACTATATTTCTTGACTTGACTTGCCGCCGAATGAATTAATGCTTGTGTACTTATCAACACTTCTCCATTGAGCATACGCATACTTCGGGCATGTGTATGTATGTTTGTATTCGGCTCACTGGACTTGAAATCGTCCAGTACAGACAGAGCCATCTCAATCGTGAGATAGTTACCATATTCATTGATTATCGAATTTGGATAGGATAGGATAGTAGCATGTTATGATTCATCCAATGGATGGGTATGCGTTCAAGGCATAAGAGGAATGTATGAGAGGAAACGAAGGCATGAGAACGTTTCCCCTGGACTGGGGTGTATAGCCTTCGGGGAGCTGAAATTTAAGGAGGAAGTGAAGTGGTGAGGGGTGTGGTGCTTGTGGATTGGAGCTGCCGGTGGAGGGAAAATTAGGTACGCGATGCTCATGCAGATGGGTTTAAATGGCATGGTATGGAGGAGATGTAGAGATAAACTGAGGGAATTTCGAAAACTAGATTTTAGTTGTATGTTTAGCTCAGAATCATTGGTAGCATAATTGTAGAGGTGGCGCATACAATGACCAAGAGATGTGTATTGTGAGATATCGTGTTAGTGGGGTTTATCACAAAGACTAAATTATTTGAGAGATGAGGATGGTGTATTTGGGGTTCCACTGACCGTTTACATAATATTTAGGATTATGATGGAATGGCTTATTAGATAGAGTAAATTAGATAATGATGTTCAAGATGGCATTGATTGACGGCTTCATGCTAGATATCAAGGATGGCAGTACATATACATTTCCACACTCTAGTAGTCTTCACCACCTTTAATCATCCTCAACAATGCCGCTCTTGTAGTCTCTTCATCAAAGACACTCTCTAACAAAACGTCCAGTTCTTGTGTAACCTTTGCTACCTGATCTCTCTTCTTTGGATCCTTCTCTGATAACCTCGATTGCCAGTGCTTGGTAAATGCCGTAATTTGTTGCACTAAAACCTTCTCTAATTCCTTTCTTGCATCCAATACTTTATCAACCACGGCAGGAAGCAATTGCCCTTTGATAATTGGTCTAATATATGCAAGAGGATTAAACACTTGGTGGCGTGATTGGAGTTCCTTGAGTGTTTCCCATAGAGGAGTGAAGTCAAGTTCGGCAGATTGACGAATGGAGTCAGGGATCTCGTGAGTCATGAACAGATTCTCGATGAGCATAAGATTCTTGATGAGGAAAAGTTGTGCATCCATGATGCTATTTGAAGTTCGCTTTATGACCGTGGCGGCTCTCTGGAGAGATTCGGTAGTTTGATGTACGATCTCGTAAAGAACATCGCCTTTCTTAAGCTGTAATAAATGTCAGAGTGCTCAGGGTTGGATCTACATGTTAGGCGACCTACTGTTCTCTCATGCATACTTTCGTTATATAAGACGAGCAAACTAACGGCCGTCTTGACCGTTGGAAACGCGTTTGAAACCCCAGCCTCGACAGATGTGCCTTCCTCGGGAGCGTTAAGAGTTGTATCAATTCGTAAGCCACTAGTTGGAATGACTTTCTCATTGGATAACTTTGGAGCATTTGAAGAGATAATCTTGAGGTCCTCTGGCGATGATTTGAAGAGCTCGAGTTTTCTTGCTTCCATGATAAAAAGCTGGTCAGCTAATGGCCATAGATGAACGCTCAACAAAACTTGTGCAGCCAATCTTTGTCCATCGCGGCTCTCGTCTTCATGTGCCTCCGCCGAGATAAAAGTGTCACCAAGCCAGGTAACCAAATCGCAAACTCGATGCAAATCACCATTGCTCAAATATGGGGCTAGGAATCCATTGAGCGTCTTAACATAAGATAAGCAGCTTTCCTCCAACTTCTCGAGGTATACACTAGGCATGTTCCACGAATTGGGAGGCGGAGGGTAATCCGCCATAAGAGGCCCGTCCTGAAAGAACTTAGCTGCCAATTTCAACTCATTCTGGCATGTATCGAATATATATTGCACACATCGTCTAGCAAACAATTCAAACTCCTTGTCAGGGAGAGGTGAAGTAGTTGCGAACTTTTGAAGATTTTTAAGAACAAGAGGTCCAACGGGATCACGAGATCTTATATACGCCTCAAGTAATTGCTGATAGAGGTTATGCCATTGTTGGATGTACGGTGTCCGGTCCACATCTCCCCTTCTCCCAAACGCAAATTCCTCAGTGGCCAAAAGCCGTTCAATGGGAAGGCCTAGGCTCTCCTTGGCAGATTCGTACTTGCCATAAAGAAGAATGTATTGATTTGTCTCTGTTTGTTCTTTCGCTTTTAGCTGTTTCGAGGCATCGTCTGAAACCTCACGAAGAGCATTTGAGAAGGCAACCTGGACGAGATTGAGGGCTTTGTCTAAAAGTGTCGTGTAGCGAGTCTTATACACAGTCGAGTCTTTATAGTTTGGCTGTAAAAAGTTAGTCACATAGACTTAAAGGCTTATCTAAATGTTGCTGAGCGCCTATATGACGTTACGTGCTCATTGATATAGAAGGTACTCAAAACGCGACCCAATAAGATAACACGTGAAAGAATTTGACGAACAAATAAACAACAGTAGCATGTACAGGCAGTGTCTAACAGACCTCGACGAAGTCACTCCCAGGTACGCAGGCTCCTGACCTATGAACATATGAAAGACAAAACCTACATGCTGGTCCATGAACTCGATACAAGAATTGAGATTCTCCAACATTTCCAAAAAGTCACCATTTTTGACAAGCCTTCCAGCACCAGGGGCATTCAAGCGACGAGTCAGAGGTTCAAGATAGGCATAATATTGCAAATCCGTCCCGATTTCATCCGCCAATTCACGTATACGTTTTTGTTCTTCCAAAAGATCTTCACATTGTGCTTGAAAGGCTGTGGTTTGCGCTTCGACATTCTTGAATGATTCGGACAGGGTGGCTAGTGTATCAAGCGCACTTGAGGTATCACTTAAAAGGTTGTTAAGGTGACGCTCGGATAGGATTAATTGATCTAGATATAACCTTCACATAGGTCAGCGTATTGAATTGGTTCTTATTGCTTGCATCTACATACTGATATTCCTCCAGGCTTCCATCCACAAGATCTTCCTCGAGAGCGCTGTAACGCTCCTCAAAAAGAGGAATCTTAGGTCCCCCTGCTTCGAAATCGCGTTCACTTTGTGTCTTGCCATCGTCCGCTTCCTTGTTAATAAATGCCATAGCTACTTCGTAGAAATCGCTATATGATTTTGCTCTCCTTGCCAATGTAGCTTTTGGAGGGTCTTTAGATGAAGGTTCATCCTCATATATCCCCAGCAATGGAGAGTTCTGGTCCAACATCTGGTTGTTACCCTGTATAAACTTATTAACACGATGCCTCTAAGAGTAAAAGAGAGACTTACGTTAGTTTGCTGCAACAGAGATTCTCTGCGACGATGCTGTGGTACCTGCGGGACGACATTTTCCCTTTTGGAATGTGTTTCCGGTACAAAACTGTACCACGCATCTTCATACATTTTGCCGGTTCCTTATGTTGTAGTTGAAGAGCAACTGGTAAGGCTGAAGTATTCTAAATATTCGGAACACCCCGTTTATTCATGGAGATAGGCACGGACCATAAGGCTCACATGTACTAGGATATTATTGGCTCAAGATCTCAAATCATCTCGTCATTGAAGCACAAGGCTGAAGAGAACTTTATGGCATGAGGGGTAGTCGGGGGCCTAACAAATTATCACACGAAGTCTGTATCCCGATTGTTGGTAAATACACATGAAAACAATGATGTTATCGAATAAGGTAGCTCCAAGATGTGGTACAATTATCCAACGAGCAAGTCGACATTCCAGTCACCCAATTGCTTTTCAGAAGAGAAATATTGGAGGCTTGAGTGGTGCCCGAGTTGCCGTTGCAAGTAGATCTTTGGGATCACGGAGAGCCGCGTTATTGTTATCAATGACAATATGCGCTGGAGGTCTGTATGCGTCGGGTTATCCACGAGCTCTACACGCAGAAGAGATTCCTACTCCAGCGGAGCTGCAATTCGAAAAGAAGAGGAAGAACACCAGCACAAAAGAAGAGAATCGAGACCAAATAAGCTCACAACACCTGCAAGTGAAGAGGAGTTGGGAGAATCCAGGAGTATATGCATGGGGATCAAATACAGGTCGAGTTGTTGCTCCCGACTCTGACGAAGTCAATATCAAGACACCAAGACGAATACCATATTTTGATGGGAAGATTATTCGAGACGTTAAGTTAGACCGTAACTTTGCCGCAGCAATTACTGAGAACGGTGATCTGCTGCAATGGGGTACAGGGTACTCGCCGGATTGTAAGGAGCCTACACCAACACTGAAAGGGAAAGATCTTGTCAAGTTAGCTATATCAAAAGATCGCATCATAGCACTGTCGTCAAAAGGCACGGTATACTCAATTTCGGCCTCAAAAACAGATCAGGAATTAGAGCCAAAGCCAAAAGAGAGCTCTTGGATACCGTTCTGGAGCAGTCAATCTCAAATAGGCTATCGAACAATGAACCCAGATAAGTTGGTTTGGGGAGAAAAGGTGTCTGATATCAGCAGCGGTCTTGAGCATTGCCTTCTCCTCACTTCCAAAGGTCGCCTCTTCTCTGCCGCTTCCGGTTCCGAAGACTACCCTACTAAAGGGCAGCTCGGTGTCCCTGGTCTAACATGGACGGCGCGACCCTCCGGAAGATACGATCAACCTCATCACATAAGTACACTTCAAGGATTCGATATTGCAAAAATTGCTACCGGGGACTACCACTCTCTGGCAGTCGATACACAAGGACGCGTATTTAGTTTTGGTGATAACTCTGTTGGTCAACTTGGCTTTGAATATAATTCCGAATCATCTACCATTGATGCTCCCTCCCTAGTCCCTATCGACCGGCTCTATAAAGGCACCAATCTGCTTCCTCGGGTAACAGGCGTCTTCGCAGGTGGAGTCAACACATTCTTCACCGTCGACGCTACCCGAGTCGCTGGCCAATCTGAAGAAGCACCTCCCTTGGACCTGGGCCGCATCACCGCTGACACCTGGGCCTGTGGACAAGGAATCTACGGCACCCTTGGAAACGGCCGCTGGACGCACGTACAAGGCATCCCCTCTAAAATGAAAGTTCTCTCTGGCCTTTTCGAATATGACGAAGTCGCACAAACCGTAATCCCCATCCGACTTTCCAGCCTTTCAATCGGCAGCACTCACGCCTCTGCCGTGATGAACAACGTGACAAATGTAAACGCCACGTCTAAATCCAGTTCAAATGATACGAATTGGGGCGCCGATGTATTATGGTGGGGCGGAAATGAGCATTATCAACTAGGCACCGGAAAGAGAAATAATGTTAGCCAGCCGGTATATATACAACCACTGGATTTGGCGGCGGATAGGGAGAAAGGAAGGAGGGAGGAACATCGCTTCCAAATTACGCCGAGGAAGACGGTGAAGATTGGCGGAAGAAATGTGAGTGTAGAACAGAGGATTGAGTGCGGGAGAGGTTGTACAGCGGTCTACTCCGGTGCTTGATTATTATCGAGGCGGGTGATTAATCTAAATGGGTTGATCAGTTCAAGTGGACATAGGTGCTGAGTTTCGAACGTGTAAAGTTCGACTGTATTGTTTTTGTGTACTCTATCTTGTAATTTAGCCATTGTCATCGCTAGGGGACAAGATGTTTAGGAATGGATGGGCATGGGTGGGAACATTGATGGTGTCAGGAGAGTAACCCCAACAAATGTATATTGATCTAAAGGATACTCAACTCTATATCCCTAGCAGAGCTATTAATATTAAGGATTCCACGACTCATCAGCATAGGTCAATTCCGTGGTCACCCATTACAATCACTCAAATGAATAAAACTATTTCATCTCAAAGAATTTGAAAAACCAAAGATCTATAATCTTACACACGTTTTTGACACTGTCTCCCGCAACACATAAGCTGTACGTACAGCCCTATAATCCCCAAAAGAACACGTATCGATCATAGGCCATCTATCTAGCCATTCCTGACTGCTTCCCTTTACTTGCCTACCATCCATGCTCCATCCTCAGTTGAGCAGTCCTAATAAACGCCATTCATCCATGAAAATTAAAGTACTGTGTGCATAAAGTATGAAGAAGAAAAATGCTCGACTTGGAAGGAGGTTCTTTCCTCCCAATACTTGCACCAACCATCCTATGAATTATCCAGACATGAACGTCTTAGTAAGATCCCTACGTATACACCATTAAAATTAATTACTTCATAACCCTGCCGCAACGGCACTGTTGGCATTAATTTGTGGCTGTGGTGATCCTAGAGAACCTGCTTGAGCGGAGTTCCTAGCTTGATGTTGCGTCCCTTGTTGCTGCACAATTTGTGCGCGCTGACGGTCAATTATAGTCTGTTGCTCGCCTGAAGTCAGGAAAGTACTCATGTTACTGTAGGAGTTTTGGTGATGTGGTTGCGGTGGCAAAGCCTGCTGAGGCTGAGGTTGGGGTGATTGAGAGGAGCTGTTCATGACCGGTGGTTGGGCTAATGGACCTTGCATGTGTCTCGTGGCATTCGGGGGTAGAATGGGAGCGGCAGTGGTTGAGTATGGAGGGCGGACCTGAGATTGAGAAAGATGGTTTGCCTGATTATACACGGATTTTGGAGGCGAGCTCTGTCGGCCAACGTGTGCTCCATTCCCGTAAGCTTGAGGATACGCAGCACCATTTTGAATTGGCTGTTGCTGCGCAGTGTATGGTGGTTGACTTGGATATCGCACCGCTTGAGGCGTAGACTGTGGAATATTTTGGTATGGTTGAGTTGGAGGGCGTGTATAGGAAGCAGCTGGCGTATTGTGTTGATACTGTTGCTGTTGGCCGTTTGTTTGAGCATATTGCGGTGCCGCCGCACCCGGCGTTCTGAACTGATGCGGGTAGGCAGCTCCCGGATAAGCCGCTGGACGATAAGATGGAGCCGATGGTGCACGCTGGGTGTAGGAAGTAGGCACAGGCGCGGTAGCAGGCGGACGCTGCAAATTACTTGGCGGCGGTCTGATCGGGGTTTGAGCAGTAGCGTAATGTTGTCCAGTAGAGGCTGGAGCTGGTCGCGAAGACGAGTACTGATTGCCGTAAAGTGCAGCAGACGAAGAGCTTCTGTGTAAGGAAGAGCTAGTGGTGGGGCGTGTATTTGACGCTGCACTCATTGCCGCCACTTTTGCACGAGCTGCCATCTCGTCTTCCTCCATGACACCTTTTTGATCGGTCAACGGAACTTCAATTTTTGTGCTGATGCTGAGTTCCGCCAATTGGTCGGAATTCAACTTCGCAACAGCATATGGCGGTAACATGGCAACCATCAATGCCAACTGCGATTTGAGGATCTCATATGTAGACACTTCTGAATCACCTGGCTTTGCAGGGGTCCCTATGAATGTAGTTTCAGATGCTTCAAACACGCCAACAGGACGCCCCGTAGCGTTAGACATATGCCGATTCCTTTGGTATGAGTTGAGTGTCTCCAGCAATTCAGAGATTTCCTGCAGTATTTCCTCAACGTCCTTTTCTTCTGTGGTCTTCTCCACCTTTAGTTCGGCGGACATCAAGTTAGGATCTATTGAGGCATCGGGGGATTCTTTCACTGCTTGCTCAAGTTCTTCCATTTCCGCATCAGTGAAGGCTAAGCTATCAGTACTTGGCTCTGAGGGATAGCCATCGCTCAGCCCCTCAGCCTTTCCAACTATATCACCCCATCGCTTTTCACCTACGCGTTGCCACCAGATCTTGTTCAAGACATTTTCCGGGGTGATAGCTTTTGAATCATCTTTGGTTGGCGCAAATCCTGAATATGCACTCCGAAACAAAGCATCCAACTTGGCAGCATCAACTTCGTTCGAGTCAAGCTCCGCTTCAGCATCTTCGTTAGAGGTTGCGCCTCTAATGCGTTTTCGTTCTGGACTGAGCGATGACGTATTGCTATAATCAAGCCATTGTCCAGTAGTAACTGGTTGCTTCGAGTAGATATTGCTTCGTGGATCGGCAACTAATGGCTGGTGCCATCCTTCAATTGATGTCGGCAATGAGCTCTTGGAAAGCTTGGGAGGTTTCAAGGGGTGAATGTTTGGAGGTGTTGGGAATAGCTCCCCTAGAGTCTGGGAACGTTTCTTATCATCAACCAAGCTCGTGGGCTGCATGGGAACAATTTTTGTTGTTGTAATCCCATTTGGTAGGCCGGCTTCGCGGAGAGGCTGAGAAATTGACTCTCCATCAATATGTATTGGAATCTGTAAGCTAGAGAATAGTTGTTTCGGTTGCGGTGCGTTGCCGTAGAGCGTAAGAACCACTTTGCTATCTTCCGATGTAGCAGTGACTGGCGCATTAGCATTGGACCCAAAATTCCTGTTTACCAAGTAACTACTAGAATTGATCACCGGGTTGCTGTTTGCCTTTGCTTGTAGTCCTATGTTAGCCTTTTCTCTGCGCACAAGCTCATGAGCCTTCTTCTTGAAGGCCAAAATCTTGGCAGATAGTTCCGACTGTCCAGCGGGAACAGGTATGTATTGATTGCGATTCGCGCCATTGGATAACTGTAGCCTCTCTATAATATCGGATGCCGCAGTATCAATATCTTTGAGAACCTCATCGATAGTGAGATATTTATTTGCCGACGCGCGTGAGAGAATAGTCGGCGAGTCAGTCGGGCCATCTGACTTTTGTCTCTTGGCTTGAGGTTCGATCGATGGGGTTGGTTCAGGAAGGGGTCGTGTTAAGATCGAGGGCGAGGGGTCATGACTAGGGATTTCAGATCAGTAAAAAAGATTGAGTTGGATTGATGCTATGCCATGCTATGCTATGCTATACAAGGGGACTATCTCTTCTGAGCAGAGTGGGAAGGTTCCTGCCAATGTCAAACTCACCTTCTCAGAACATCAATCAAATCCTGAACAAGTCCTTGTGTATCTATCGTCGCCGGTTCTTCTGTAATTGCGATTTTGGATTCGTTAGTGATGCCATTTATGAGAGCGGGCTGATCAATGTTATCGTCGCGTTTTCGTTTCGCTGATAGTGTAATGTCTAAATGCGGTTGAGTGGGGGGACTGAGAATCCCGTTGGTCGAGGCCATCACGTAGTCTCGCGGTTCAAAGTTTTTTTTGAATTTCCTTTTTTCGCGTCGCGATCGCAAATAGTATGTGTGTTACCGATGAAGGAGACTCTTCCTTTTTAAGGTATGGGTACGAGAGGTAGATGAATACTTTTGGGGGTTTGAAAAGGAAAACCAAAATTCAGCGCAGCAAAGTCATTGAAGTCCTCATTCAAAAGTACTTCAATATGTAATTTGAAAGCGCAAAATAGAAATGGGAAAAATAAGAAGTCGTAAAGTTTGTATCGCTTCCTTGAAAGGAAAATTGTTGCAATTATTGTAAGAAACTGTATTGGGGATGTTTATTGTTTCTTTCGTTCCTCAAATCTCTCTCCAATATTGGTTGCCGGGCTCTGAAAGATGAGGCAGACTGGCAGAATGGCAGAGCAAAGACCAAAAGGCACGGACAATGACAAATTAAGCGCAGAACTTGGAAAGCCACGACGACTAAACCTAGAGTGGTAAAAGTGGCTGATAAGGTCACGGGATTTTGTCTCATTAGTCATCAATATAATTATTTTTGGGGATTTGGGGATTTGAGGATTTGGAATTGATATTTTGGTTTGGTTTTGTATAGCACCCTCACTTCACCTGTGAATCAACACTTATCACTTATTCTCCTGCAGCTTTCACATATTGATAGTCCGTTACATCCATTCTTGCGCACCACTTTTCTGTTTTATTCCGAGGAAGTACACTTTCTACACTATATAATACCTCGAAATACAGTAATGCAAGTCAGATTCGCATTTTGATACTGTCTAGACAGAGATCTTGTGCAGTACAATATGAACGGATGCAATCGTGCCTCCATTCTTCGAAATCTGGCAATGCCTCCTCATGGCATCGTGCCAGGTTCTCATCCATTATTCCATTATTCCAAGTAAGCATGAGAAGATCCCTCTAGAATTATGGAGGATTTACTGAATTTTGACGTATTTTGCCTACAGCTCCACAGGGAATTGAAATACAATCAAGGAAGCTCAAGCTACCAGCTTCTAACAACATCAACTAGATACAATTCGACTACCTCTAAATTGGACGAGTTAGATAAGGATAAAACTTCGCGTACTTTTTTTGAGCATATTAAATACTGGAAAACCCTACGAATTAGACATTGGAAGAGGAAACGCTCCATTGAACTTGCTCCTATAGAACTTTTGAAATCCAAAAACAATGGAAATTGGACTACCTCTAATTTGGACGAGCTTGATGAGCATAGCAGAAACTCCATGGGACTTATTCATGGAGCACTTTCTGAACCGACGAACGATATGATCAACTATCCACCGACTAATTTACGGCCTCTGAGAAGGAGTTTTAGCAACAGACTTAAAAAAAAGCGACGGCTTTCAAGTCTTAGGTTTCTTGGAACATGGTTAGATTTGCAAGATGAAGACGCGCGGGAAGCATATTGGCGAAAGTTTAGATCGGAGAAAGCTAGATTCAAAGTCTTGGAATCGGCTTTGCCAACGATCCTACTGCAGCACATGAGGGTATTTCATCAAATTCTACATGTCGACACTGCTAACTTTGAGGTAATGTAGCGCTGCCCTCTGACTCTAGACATGACTCTTGGCTTGAGAGAACGGGGTTTCTCCGTAGATGATCTCGTCATATGGGCATACATCATTCAAGGAAGAGATTCGGATGAACAGGCACAACGACTTCTGTCTTCTCCCTCACGAAAGCCAACATTCATATTGTTAGAAATTCTCCGCAATGAGATTAAGCACGTGGAAACTTTCAGATCACTTCTTGAGTATACTTGGACTCGGGTCTTCTCGGTAAATTCTCAAGAACGCACCGGGGGCTTTTGGCCTGAAGTTTCCGAGTCATTTCTTGAGAAGGAAGCGGAGGATTTAATGTCATTTTCTTCACCTGACATGGAACTATCCACGTTTACGCTTCTCATCTCTCGCCTTCTCCATCATGCTCGACATTTACTGCCCTCTGCGGTCGTCCCCATATCTCATATGGTCCCCCCATATTTATTCCATAATCTGCATCGTGGGTCTATGTCAGAGACCTTAGAGCCGAAAGAACATGGTCGATTCTCCGAATTCCTCAATAAATTACTTCACGCCCTCTCTCGGCCATCAACCTCAATACCTTTCGGATCCATGTTCCATAATTGGCATGCTCAGAGAGTGCTCTTGAGTTTAGCAAATCGTACTAAGCCACCTTTGACTATTGATCGGCTTGGTTATCATTCTGTCCAAGCCGTATTACTTGCAATGCAAAAGACTAATGAAGAGTCAAGATTAGCTACGCTGCAGGCGAGGGGCTGGCCTCCCTGGAGAGTTGATCAAGATGGTATGGATGCCCAGAGATCTTCAGATGAAGATATGAGTAGGGTCGTGTTTGCAATAAGGCAAATGAAGGAAGCTGGATATAATACAAATCTTCGAACTCATGTCCATCATATTCTCGGGGGACAAGAAGATGATGGAACACCAACAATCCATACCAGGTCGATGTCCAAAGCTCATATTAGAAAGCTGCGTTCCTTGGAGAGATCGTCCCCTCTAAATCATCGGGTTTGGAGTGCAAGAATCGTAGCAACACGTGATGTCCAGGAAGCTTGGAGCGCTTTTAAGAATTTTCACCGCCTAGGTGGTACACCCGCATCTTCCATTTATCATGCTATGATGGAAAAAATCGAAGCCGAAAATAGGAGAACGGGACGTCTTCAAGCGGTAGATGTTTCGCCCGGCCAGGGTAAGGAAGTGCTTCCGCCATTTAGCGACAATTTCAGTGATTTCTACAAGGAAGAGCTTCGACCACCGTCAACTATCGATGTCATGTATGAAACAATGAGGTCATCTGGTATACGACCGGAAAGTGACTGTCTGCGATTCCTTATCAGCCATGCTAGGTCAATACCTGATGGTATAAAGTATCTCCGTGAAAGTGCACAACGAGATACCTTTTTGAAGTATCTGATTGGTCACAACGCCGATCGACCTGCAGAACTTACATCGTCGGAAACACGAATTATCTATGCCTTCGTCACGTTACTTTGCCGGTGTGCGGATAAACTTGTACCACAAGCTCCAATGTTCGGTTATATCAAAGGGTATCATGAAAAATGTTCAAACGTCATCAACGGTATCAACGCGGATGGGGTAATGCCACAGACGTTGCCTAGATCTAGGAAGTCTGGTATCAACCCGCTGTCTCATGCATTGGAGCTCATAAGAACCAGCCAAACGAGATACAAGCCAACGTGGTATGCGATCTTAGATGCCCTTGCTCGACCTGGCATTATCATTGATCCTAATATAATTGGTGACCCTCAAGATGATGTCAATTCTTGGAGAATCTCTGCTGCTGTACTCCAAGATTTTCACGATGCGGGGCTTGAGCTCGACCCCAAAGGCTTTCAACTTATTTGTCGATGTTTGGAAAAGGCGATGCTTGCATCATTTCGAATGGACGAAAAATCAATGTTCCTGGACGCAATTCTGCTTGTGAAGGAAGAATTTGCAAAAATCTCTTCCACAAGTTTTAAGTTTGAATTTTCAGTACTCTCTCATAAGCTACATGGCGCTATTTTACATGCATACATCCGTGTTCTAGGGGTAGCAGAGGACCTTGATGGTCTCAAAGCTGTTGTGGACTGGATGGTACTTCATCACAACAGTTTACTTACTGAGGCGAAGTGGACTCGCAATGGTCATGAACTCCTGAGAAGAACTCTAACAGCTACAAGGGTATTCTGTAATGGGACATCCTATGAAGAAGAAGTAAGGGAATTGGTAGAAAGTGTCGACGGATGGACATGGCCAACGGATGAGGATGCTAGAAGTTATATTGAAGCTGGTCCGTTGATAGAATCTGGTGACGGTTCTTTGGTGATTGACGAACACGATGAAAAGAATCTTGCTCGGATGCCCTACCCATAATAGAATATCATATGTACCAAAAAATCCAGGAACTAGGCGTCTTTGATGCACAATATAGGGAGTATATAGGTCTCATCTGCTTGATATATGAACGGAAAACTTTTTGTCACAGCTCTTAAAAAAAAACTATTTTAATTGCCTTGGTATATGTTCCGTGCAAGATTAACAAGATTATCTGTCGAACTTCCCTAAAGGGGAATCTCTAGATTTGAAAGTATCGAGCCTCCGTCTTCTCCGCTGCACACAAAGGTCGAATTTCAAAGACAAGAAGGTCTCCGCGGAAATGGTTTGTGTCGGCGTAGGAGGTTATTAGAAGAATGAGTATTCATGTTATATGTTGGTAAATTTGATTGAAAGATTTTGCGATTTTGACTTAGGATGACGTTCGGTGTATGTATGTATGTAGTAAAACTATTTAGCATTTATAGATTCATTTCTCCCGTCTTTGGGCTGGCCAGCCATGTACATTTATTGTGGGGAGGAGATGTCATAATTGAGCAAATATCGACAGGATTGGGGGGAATCATCATAGTAACATCCTCGAATCTATAGTTCCTGATACAAAAAGTTTGGGCATGGGAAACGAACAATTGGTCATTTGCTTAACCCGCAGAGCGGAATCTTCCTAGCCATCAAGAGCATCCTAAAAGCATTCATCATCCCTCGAGTGAAAAGGAGCGGCAAACATGGTTGTTCGGTCAGGTCAAATAGGAACAAATTTGCACCGCGAAGTTTTCCTCCCACCCTTCGCGTGAGCAGTATGGTTTTTATTGGTTGATAAGCACGTTTTTTGGTCGTTGAAGGTATTTTGGGGGTGTAGGTGGTGAAGGTTTGGCATCTGAAAGGAAGAGTGATGAATCAGTAGAGTAGGAAGGGAAGAGAGCTCGCGTCGGGAAAGCGGTGAGATAAATCTTTACCATTATTGATGGCAACCACATGTTCGAATGTGCAAAAGCTCAACCAGGAAAATGAATCTTTGGATTAAGGCTTCTTCCTTTTTGTTTCTCTGAAATTGATTAAAATTGGACTCACCCCTAGTCTGATTGTATGCATCCTCAGAGTCACGGGCTTTCCTATTAATCTACAAGTTCTTCCAAATCGTTTCAACTGATCTTCTTACCAGTGGTCACGGTATATATATACGCGCTTGCCGCAACATGTTGATACCAAGACAACATGAATGCCGCACTCGCGCCTTCCAAGGTCTTTCAAAGGAAAGCGCAACTGAGGTTACATGTTAAAAGGAGTTGTTCATCTTACCTGTTAAAAAAATAGAGGTGAGTTGATTGCAATCCAGCAATGCTCTATTCATGAGGCCTTCGTCATGCAAGAATCTTTGAGCAGGATTATACACCACAGCATCATGTGCTTTATCTGAGCTGTGAATGGTCAACCTCCTAAGTGCTGTCTGGCTTCAAAGCTGGAGATAAGCGGCATTATGGACCGCGTCGCCGGAACTTGTTACCATCATCGTCTTCTTTTACCATCGCATTTTACTCAAACAACATTGCTGTTCTTTACTGTGTGGAGCAATACTCATTTTACGAAATATAAATTACCCTTCACCTTAGCATGAAAGCAACTAGGTATGCTAAATGCGCGAAGGCTGGGACAAAGATATGTCTATTTGAAAACAGCCCGGACCAAAGTCTTGGTTCTGATGACTGCTGAGGTGCATACAAAATGCGATCATCGGGGCGCCCGAAACTATGGAGGCTACCTCCATCGTAAATGATGAGTATGTACCACCGGCACAAAAGCTACAAGGAGCATCGATTTTTCTTCTTGTGTCATTATGTATCCAGGAAATACCGGACTTCCGATGCCTGAACCACTTTTTACATGAAACTATAATGTTTTCATTGCTTTGTCATGAAAAGCAGATAATTCTGGACAAAAATGCGAATTCAATAAAGTCATACTTCCATTGCAGCGGCTGCTATATGCTTATGCATAGATAGATATAAGCAAAAGTGCGGGAAATATTAAGCCACATGCGAATGGTGGCCACGTTTTAATGCAAAGAAAATCCACAATGCACAACTTCTACCACAGCACTTATAGCGGCAGTTGCTGTGCTAGTGTGATGACTGGAGGTATATACGATGGTATGTTTTATGTCAAATTGGACGAACATAGCGGGAAGGTTTTTTCGACATATCAAAAAGCCAATGTCCGTCTTCACAATTCAGATGTTAATGGTTAAATCCCGACACAAGCAGATTGGTTCTGTTAACCATTGTCTCGGGAGAATGCTGGGGAAGTTGTTGCACAAAATATTAAACGGCGTTCTTTGGCGGCCCCATGGCTATTAAATAAACTTGGATCAGGGCGTGGTAGCTGCATTTTTTGGTAGCTTGGATGCCCGAGCTCACCAGCTCAAATGTTAGTTAGGGAGACAGGGAACAGAGCTCAGATGCTCAAATGAAAAACTCAAGAACAAATTCGGATAATGTGAGAATTTATCAGGAAATTATCAATCCCGGGGGACATTAGAGGAAGATGTCTTTGCCGAGTTTTCCGAGAAGGAACTAGACGCACTTAGTCAAGGGACAAATACAATCAATCCTACAGATAAATGAGGGAAAAGGATTGACTTGAGGCTCAGTGAGTTCAAAAGTTCGAAGCGCCAGGACGGGGACCGATGGCGTGTTACCCCTGATTATTCTAAACCCTTCATGGACGGTACCTTTTTGGGACCCTGTACAAAGAAAGGTACATCAGATGAAATTTCGGGGCAATTGAATTCAACCGAGGTACAGGAAAGAATAAGATAAAGCTAATGTTTTACATTGGATCGACTACAGCCTACGGAGTATAGTCTGAAGGTTAATCCATCCACCTTCAGCGAGATAGTTACAATCTGCTTGAGGGTAATTTCCAAGAACGCAAGGTGATATTAGGTGATATCTACTAGGCAAGTGTTCTCGGGCTTAGGACGTATTAGTACTTTTAGATCGTTCATATCGAAGCTACTGGTGTATCAATCCGTCTAATCAATTCAATCAGCTATCAGTTAGTTACCCACTCGAAAGAAGCGAATGCGATAAAATATTTCAAATCCATCCCACTCTCAACTTGAACTGTTCTTACTCTCACGTTCATCAAGTTCACTTAGCTGAGCCGGTCTGATGGAATCATTCTGCATCGACTGGCTGTCACTTGACGCAGGGGATAATGTAGGTTCCCCTACTCTGACATCCAACCAAAACATTCTGGCTCTTTGCTCAGGAACCTCGAGTGAAATTTGCCGGCGAGCAGGACATTGACCACATGGTAGGTCATGTACGAGGATGCAGGGGTAGGGCGGAGATGTCACCTCTTACATTTATTTGCACAATCTCTCCAACATTTATTATTTCCTATCTCATGCTTTGACATACGGAGTACACCACAAACCTTGCCATTTTCTGACCAATGTCCGCAAGAAACATCTCAAGGTTCAACATAACCAACAAATGGAAAATGAAAACGATGTCAACCTACATGGATTTTGGTATTACCCTGCATCGTGGTGCATACATACTTGGCTGTGATAATGGACATGATGCTAAACAGCAGTTCATTTTACTCTAAACAATCTAGAAACATCTAATTATTCTAACGGAAAAGTTGTGTAGGACTTTACATGAGAGGGGTTAGAGTCGTAGACAAAGCACAGCCAGCAAACTTTCGAAGCGCTTTCCCAAGCTTCCATTCCTCTGGAAACATTCTCGCTGATCTGGGTTTCCACAAGTGGATATAGATATAAGCTATTACCTATGCATGTCAGATTTCACGATATGAAGCTCATCATACTTCACTTAGAAACTACTAATGCCTGAATGAAAAATGCTTTGGTCTCGTTCGCTTTGCAAGTTACAGGGAGCAGATATCATCAATAACCAATAGGGGGGTCAGCATGAAAGCTCACGCTGTGCCGTTTCAGTGTGGGCACTGAGCATATGCAACTTTGGAAATTTAACCGCAATTCATTTTCTGTGCGACATTACATTACATTTTTCCACTCGTATACTACTACCAATACCTTACTTTCTTTACCTTAACCTTAACTCATCTTAGCAATTCAACTGCTGCATTATTATCTATCTATCATTCTTAACCGTTTCGTATACACCATCATACATTTTTACACTTTTACCTTTTTCGTGTTCACAACCTCATGCCGACTGAACTGTTTCCGATCAAAAATTTAGCTGCAATATCCCTCCGCTAGAATTTCGACCTCGCATCATAAAGGAAGCTCTACACATGTAATAATGTCTGTGAGACGGACAAGATCGGTATCTAAGTGGAAAGAAGTCCTGGGCTTCGACGAGGGGTTCTACCCCACATCCGAAACTCCTCCTCCATATCATCGCTATGAATCTACCGAATCCATCTATGAATCAGTAGGATCCATAAGTCCTACTGTATCTTACTACCATGAGACCCTCGAAGAACTCACTCCTAAATTCCATTACTCCGACGCACCAGAAGTCGTGAACCATACACCATATTACCATGACGCGCCCGAGGTGGTAGAAACCCCTCTCGATTATACCTATTCAGATGCTCCGGAAGCAGTGATACAACCTTCAGATGCCCCAGAGGCAGTTATAAAACCTTCAGATGCTCCGGAAGCAGTTATACGATCTCCCACTTCAACCAATTTTTCACATACTCCAATATCAGCGATAACGTCAAGATTTAATACCACTACGCCTTCAACGCATGCACCGACCAATATAGCAACTCGTACTCCAAGCAATATAGCAACTCATACTCCAATCAATCCATCTAATTCCGGAATTAGACTTCCACGAGATTTAACTTTCACCAGAAATTCCATATGTGATATTCTTCTCTCACCATCATCACCATCATCACCACCACCAGCATCAAATAATCAAAAACCTCTTCCGTCACCACCGCCACTATTCTATATCACGATCCATCAATCCACATCCCAAAACGTTCCAGCTGTACCACCTCCAGGTAACCGCAACAAGCCGGATATTGCGCTCCATTCCACCGCATCACCTAATTCACCCCTGCTCGCTTTCGCATGCTTCAACACCGTTACCCTCATAACAGATATAACCACGCTCCCGCCACCCACACGTCCCATCTCTCCGCTCACTCCGCCCTCCTCATCTTCTCTACCCTCAAAAGCCATTGTGCCACCTCCTACAACCTACAACCTACCTACTTCTCCCGGTGACTCCCTCACATTCGGCGTGCGATCCCAAGGATACAAAACCGAGAGATTAGTCCCTACCGGTGGAATATTCACAGCAGAGCGCTACGCCTTCTACCACACCCTACCGCGAACCTTTGTAAAAGAAAAATTCGAATGGCGCCAAGTATCTTCATCCTCCTCCGCCCCACAAGTCGGACTCGCCGCCGTCCCCGAAGAAATGACGAGTAAAAAAGGCGGGGTAAAAATGAAGCTCATGCGATGTTCAACCGGCGAAACCATTGCCGTATATGTGGGCGTCGGAAACGAAGACTGGGCTGATAAGGAACGGAAAAGACGGCAGAGAAAGGAAAGAGGAAAGGTATTGGGCATGATGCGCTGGTTGGAGTTGGAGAGTGGGAGTGCGGGATTGGGCGATGAGTTTGAGTTGATGGGTGTTATGAGTGTGCTTGGGGTGATGGAGAGATGGAGGAGGGTCATGAATGTGCAGAAGCAGTTGGGGATGTTTACCTCGTGAGGAGGAGCCGGAACGGTGGAAAGTAAAGGAATGCAGAGAAGAAGAGAAGAGTATTAGAAGAGGAGATGCGGATGAGAGGGTAAAAGGTAAAAATGTGCCATGTTATGATAAATGAGAATTGATCTAGATGAAGGGACAGATACAGATGAGTTAATAATATTGGATGGAGCAAAAATTGTACATGAGGTTGAAGAATAGTAAAGGCTTTCAGTGAGTGGTGGATTCGGCTTGTATTTAGCACAGTATTTTACATTTTTAATGTATGTTATGTATGTTACAGTAGGTATGTATCTTATGATATATAATGATACCCTTATTTGAAGAAAAGAGGCAATTTTAACCAACGCAAGATATCGTTGTGGAATAAAGAAAAAACCGAGCCACAGCTCCAAAATCTTCAAATTGTCGTTCACAGGGTTTCTTTCAAAAGAGTCCTGAAAATTGAGAAGACTTAGTTTCGCCTTTCTATCCGACATTCTCAACCTAAATCTTACCTATTCATCGACATCCAGACAATACTGAAGCTCGTGAGCTCCTCTCCCAGATAAAGTAATATCATCTGGCTAATTTCCAAGCATAGCTTTTAAAGCCTACTCACCTACCTCACAAACCGAACCAATATCATCCAACACCCAACAGCCAACAGCCAACACCCAACACCCAACACCCAACATTCAACATTCCCGAACCCTCCCACCCAAGAAGCTATTTAGTCCCTAGCTATCGACCCCTCGTTTTATATCCCCATCCTCGCATATCCCATTTCACACATCACATACACTCTCACCCCTCCAATTTACCAAAATAGCAACACAGCAATAGATAGACATATCGAGACGACGGGCCGGGCCACGCATATGCCCATGCTTATCTATCTTCATATGAACACTCGAGCCATATACTTTTGGTACAAAACTGTGCTCTGCTATTAGCGTATGGTAACTCTGCTTCAAAATATGAGAGAAATATACTTCACACAATTTCTCTCTTTTCTTTTTCTCTAGTTGGTGGTTGCACATACCCCACTAGACTACCCTAGTATGTTATATATATATCGTCAGGCAGTATTGAAGAGATCCGGCGATTGTAGTCCAGGGGTTATCCTGGTGTGTTGGGCTCTGTCGCCTATGTCCACAATAACCGGTACGGGATCCGTGCATTTCATGTTTTTGTTGTGACGGACATATTGTTGTCGAAGTATGGTTTGTGGGCTTGCCTAGTGGTGGCCTCGTAGCCTTCGAACTTTGATCGAAGAATGATGGCTCTTTCACCGACGTTTCGTTTCGGATGGCTAGCGGTAATGAGGTGATGGTACCTTCAAACGAGACAGGATTGTATTCACCAATATTCTCATGAAGGAATCGAGTATGTATGGCTCATGAAGAAAGTGTGAAAACCTAGGAGTTCTCATATATCGTGGTGATATTGTTTCCCCTACGAAATGAGGAGTTGAAGGCCGTCAGAGGTTATGCGTGTAAGTCATCCTGCTTTATATCAACCGAGAAAAACACCCATCGCTTTTTTCATCGCGATAATAGAGATAAACCCACTGTCTTAGGTAGCATTGGTGTTATGTTAGGAATGAATTTGAGACTTCAATGGAGCACAGTATTTGCTATCTGGAAGGACAGATATGCGGGCAGAGAGGAATCGAACAGAGTGGAAACCAGACTTGGTAGGACCCTCATACACTCTAGCACATCTTTGATGCCGATCAAATCATGAATGCCTTCACAGCGGGCAATCTAGCATATGCATATCTGTCAAGGAGGATTAGCCTCCAAACAATGGCGAAAACGTCAAGGTCAAGGGGGTCATAAGGATATAGAATGAAGAAATTAATTTGTCAAGTAAAGGATAGTCAAAAACAGCTGTGTCAAAGTACGAAAGTCAATAATCTTCGTTTTCCATGCTGCCCGGCCCGTCGCTCCGTCTAGTTGACGTCGAAATAAAACATGCCTCATGTGGTTGCACATGTGAAGCCGAGTATTTCCCGAAGGGCGATGCTGTGCTGACTTGTGATGTTCAAAGTTCCGCCCACACCTCAAAGCAAACACAAGCGCGAGGGGAGCAGCTGAATTTGAAGCATCTTCTCCCATTGATAAATCGATTATACATCATTGACTTCTTTATTACAAGTTATGACCATGGCACAGGATCAGCTAGAAATAACACTGCAAACTCTCGAGCATGGCCGTTTTTTACCGGTAGCTGTCAATTATCTACAGCGCCAAGAGGTGAGACTACAACGGCGGCAACATTCTCAGCCTTTGAGCTGAGTATAACACCTCCGCCTTATGTTTATTGGATTACTCTAGATCACCTACTCTGAGTCAAGCCATAAGAGCCAAGTTGCTCCCCAGTCGGGTGATTCATCCAGCCTCTAATTAAGGCTCTTGCCGAAAAAAGGGTCCAAATTTTCGTGTCACATTCCTTCCTTTATTGAGACAAAACAAATGCTTCATGTACCATTCCATAAATTCACAATATCTTTCGCGTTACCCTGCGTGTTGTGTTTGTTGTTCTGCATCTTCGTTTTCCTGTTTTTCCCATCTCGCTTCCTAAGTAGGCTCATAAATCATGGTCAAATTCTATCCATCGCAAATTGGATCTATACGCATTACTCCTTTATCCTACACTACATCTCCTTTCAAGTTATTTTTTGATGACCTATGGCTCGTTCTTATAAACCTCGGATACCTTCTCAATGTCTTTAGGCCTTGGACTCCCGCTCTTTCTGGTGATCTTTGCGAATTATCTTTTACTTTGAAGAACTGCAGAGATCTTGGTTTGCACGTTTTCCTGTTCTTTCTGCAACTATGCTTCTTGCTTTCCATTCTTATCTGGGTCTTGATGCCAGTATGGGCGGTTGCCGTAGGGTTTACTATGTTTTGGATGTTCAACTATTTAATTTGTTCTATTTTGAATGGGCCGCGATCGGCGAGGACCTATAAATCTGCTCATGAATACGCCCAGGAAAGGGCCAAGCACGCTAAAGAGCGATGGTTATACTTGAATGGTGTTTGCACTGGGTAGTTTTAGCGAGTGTATCAATCTGCTGTCATGAACTAATAAATGATAGACGTCATTGGCTTGAAGGTTCCGTGAATCGTCTCGCCCTTACATTTGGACGCCCCGTCATGGGAATTCACAACAGAACGTAAGTATTTCTCGTACCTTATTTGTACCCTATTGATCAAGTGCAGCAATGGCCTAATTTTCGACCTCATCGAATGTGTGATCCAGCGCAGCTTCGATTATGCTACTACGGACATTCGCATCGCTTACCGTATCCTCAAAGACGAGTTGTACGATGACGATGTTGACCGAGTAATTCTTATATGCCATTCTCAAGGTGGCATTGAGGCTAGCATTATGATAGACCGGCTTCTCGCCGAGATCCCTCAAGACCTTGTCCGAAAGCTCGAGGTCTACACATTTGGAAACGCCGCTAATCATTTCAACAACCCACATCTTCGCCGGGAGTATCAGGGACGCGCCTTGGCTAACCCAGCATTACCGGCGGCTGACTTGAACAAGCCTGCAGACCCTCTCACTAATCAAGAGAGGAATGGGAAGTCCATCTCACACATTGAACACTACGCGCATACATATGAAATCGTCTCTAGAATTGGAATACTTCACTTTGCCAATAATCATAATAATGATGCACTCGCACCGCGTTTTATGGGAAGGATTTTTGAAGTAAAAGCTGTGAGTACAGCTTTGATGGACTATGCCTGATCTATGTGCTGACTATTGAATGCTTAGAGAGGTCATATGTTCGTACAGCACTATCTAGACACCATGTTTCCACTTACCAGACGCCGGCGAAGGAAATTGCCAGAAATCAGTCAAGGCTCCGGTAAAGGTCCAGATGACGACACTCAACCGGGGTCCGTAGTCGTAGACGCCGAGTTTATGAAAAGCGTGGTCGAACGTGAAGGTCGAGTGGCGCCTGAAGATAGTCTTGGAAGGGAAGACTGGGAGGTTTCAATAACAGACCTAGAAGGGATTGAGAACGGGTTGGTTGGTGGAATGACAAGAGTTCAGGTGAGAAACTTAAGTAGATTGAGGTTATACCTCAACGGGAGGATTCCTGAGGATAGGGAATGAGCTAGGTTACCTGGCTAGTTCACTCGGTTGGTTACTTCGTTTGTTGAATGGTCAGTTTAGTTATGTATGACGTTTCGTTATTGAATTGGAAGATGTTTCTTTTCGGTTAGATGGGATTTTGAAAAATTTGATTTTCATGATCTTTACTACCTTTCTCCTTGATGTCTTGGTATACGCGTGAGCTTAACAAATAGATGTAGTGCTGGAAATTTTGGATTCGGATTTGAATCTTGAAGAACGTCAAGATTATACTTCCGAATGGGATTGAGAATTAGAGAAATTTACACTTTCAAGAGCATGAATAACGGGAACTTGTCAAAAACAATCAAGGGAATAATCTTCCAATGAGTATAGGTATTATTATATTCTAAATTTCATATCCGTAATGCCTTACTCCAAGCCATGCATCCCATCGCTCCATATGCTACCACCCAAGTGAGTCCATGCACATGCACATGCACATATGCATGCGCATACGTATCTGCATCAAGCATACACATCATGACCCTTTTCTTTACAAACCGGACAGCCACCTCTAATCCTATCCTTCAATAACCTCGCTCGCGTCACCTTTGTCCCAATACTATGCACATTCGTATATCTACGCTCGTCATCCCCATCGTCAAATCCATCATACGTAGGATGTCTCTCCGCATCAGCCGATTGACGAATCTGGTCTTCGTTCTTACCGTAGTTTAGGAGGTGCGATAGGTGCCATACGTGACCGCATGCAAAGCCGACCAGGGTCTCCATTTCGCCTTCTACGAAGGCGTTCTTGCAACTTATGCAATGTACGGGTTTGTGTTTATAAGATTGTCTTTCTGGACGTTGGGTTTCACCGTCTGCTTCGGGTTCCTGTTGGGTGACATCGAATTTGACGCCGCGACGTTGGCCGGCTCGGAGAGTGTTTTGCGCCATTGCTACTTCGCCTCGTAGTACTCTTGCGACTCCTTGGCTTATACTTTCTTGGATTTCATATTCTTTAATCATTCTACTGAGACCTTCTCTCAGGCCCTCGATCTCTAGACCTTCGGGGATTTTTCGAACTAGACGAATTGGATCAATTGCCGTCCCAACTTCTTCCAATAATCCACGGATAAATCTAGGCTTATCCATAGAGTACTCGAGAAGATCATCCCAAAGGTCTGCATCGTTCTGAGATTTGGCAAATGATATTGCTTGTGAAACATCTGCCAAACGATCAATGATGAGATAAAGAGCACGTTTTGTTTGACCAGTCTTGGAGTAGAGATACACGAGTTCAGGGATAAATGAGTGATTTTCACATTCAAGTGTTGCCTAGATATTTGTAAGCTTAGTTAGATAAAACGATGAAGCTATACAAACCTTTTCGAAAGTATAGAAGGTGGACGACTTAAGAAACTCCATAAGTAGCGCGCGATCATATGTCGCGAAGAGGTGTACAGCTAAATCAGCAAGACCATCTACGAGCGATCTACTTTCTGCTAATAATCGATCGCGGTTCTCGCTTGGAAGTTCATCTATGCCATCACCTTTCCAGAGCGAGCTGACATAGAAGAAGAGATACAACGGCATTTCCTCTAGCTGACCCACGACAATTTGGGGTCGAACGAGACCATGATGAGCCTCATCAACAAGTAGTTGTATAGCTTCAGACGTAGCTTCTTTTAGTTCTGAGATAGAGGCATGTCGCTTCTGGTCCTTCGAAACGCGTAGCATGATGAGGGCAGGGATATCATCTGCAATTGCGTCCACTAAACGATATTGTTTAATAAGAAGCATGGCAGAATCGGCATCTTGGAGCTTGATGTAACATTTCAGAGCCTCGCGAGGCCGTCCATCAGCCACATAAAGCTTCCCTAAGCATTCCATGACAATCCGCCAATCCCTACCGATTTCACCATCTTCTACGCTATCTTGGCGGACGTCCCGGTATTTGAGCTGGTTTTCTAGAGCTGTGGCTACAGCTTTTATATCAAATAAGTCGGGTGACCATTGGTCGAGCAACTCCCTTACCCTTGGTAAGTTATGGGTAATATAATGTCCCAGCACGACTTCGTAGATTGTCGATGGCAGTGGTGGCGTGATTTGTGCCGTAGGTATAAAGTTGGTAATTTCATCAAACTTGTCTTTTCCAGCAAATGCCCAGACCCAATGTTCCCAACGATCCGATGTACCCAGGACCTTGCCACAAATTCTGCCTGCAGCAGTCCAGTCATCGTTCTCAATCAAGGATTGAATCCAAAGTTCACCAATTCTGCGCTTCTCCTTTTCCACGGACGAGTTAATCAAGCGACTTGCAGATTCGATGGTCGTGCTTTCGTAATCGTAGAAGTCATCACTACTTGAGTGCGTTCGATCGGGAGTTGCTGGCCCAATTTCAGAGAGCTTCTCGGGAGAGGATGAAATCACTTCAGGATGTTCATCAATTAACTCCCAGGCTTCTTGGTGCTTTTCGTGCTCCAACAGCCACCCAAGATGGTCCGAGAGATCTCGTTTCGTTGCCAAAATACAGTCGTATGGACTTTGTATGAAAATTTTCATCCCTGGCGTGGTGATGTGCGGGTGAGCAGCAGTAGTACGATTGTACTGGGCGAGTCTTGATCTAACTGACGTATGTTTTGAATCACCATCGCCTGTACTTCCATTGCTGATCACACTTGCACTAGAACTAAGCAGTGATGTTGCATTAATCGTAGCATTCCACATACCACTGCCCATTCCAGTAAGGGCTTCCAGGGTTCCGCGAGATGTTTGAACAACCGGCTCGTCTCGAGCGGCAGGCAACACGCATAAATGATAGTCACCAGCCGAGAGTCTCTCGTAACGGCTGACTGTTAATCCATCAGTATCCACCTCTTGGGATGTTCCCAAGTCAATAAGACGAAGTTCTGGCGATAGTGCGTTTTGTCGACGCCGTATTCCACCGCTCGGACCGCTACCCGTTGACGTCGTTGATGACTGGGATTTGTGCCCTTTTGGTGTAACAAATTCCTCATCTTCTTCATCAGGCATAACATATGCAAGCACAACAAGTAAAGTTGGGGTATATAACGATAATCCAGAAATAATGCAATCCATCCGTAACCTAACAATGTTAGAAAGCCCCAATACCGCCATAGTAAGTTGAGTCTTGCAACTCACATTTTAATGATCTCAGCGCTACCAACAGAACGCTCTCCCACATGTTTTCCAACCCCCGCTCCACCAGGATGCACATTAATCATCCAGATTGTGCCGCCCCATCCAACGACCAATTTTTCAATTCGCAATTTATCTCTCGACGCTTGCAATCTCAGCTTCGCTGTGGCAGGGGACGCAGTTGATGCTTCGCGAGCTTTGTCATCCTCATCAGTTTCAAGAGTCTTCTCGTCTATCCATTCGACCCTAGCTTTCCACACACTGGCCATATCTTCCCATTGCTGCCCATCTGGACGGGATATGTGCCCAATTCTTTTCCAAGCAGATTCAGTATCCGCACTGTCCAATTGCAAGTGAGACCTCATGATTTTAATACCATGCTCATTGCTCCAAGCAACATATCTTCCTGACAGGGACCACTTGATGGTATTGATTGTGCCTTCTCCGGAGTGTAACACAGTATCCTTCCCAGTATGTGTTCCTAAACCAATAGTTCCTAACCAACCACTTGCAGTAGCCGCTGCACTTCCAGTAGTAGTAGACGTCGAGCTTGTACCTGCTTTACCGCCAACGGTAAGCACTAAATTTCCTGCTAGCCCTCCTGATATATATGTGCGATCATTTTTATAATCCGGCGACAGACTAACAGCTTGGACAGGTCTTGCAAAATCTCTCAGTTGTACATCCTTGACATCAATGAGCGATGCTATGCACACCTTGCCATCAACAGATGATGTGCCAATGTAGATTGCGTTCGAAGGGGTTTTTGACAGTGTCGGGGCTCCAGGACTACGCGCTGTGTTTGTGGACGACTGGGATATCATTGATGGAGGTCTCTGCGGTGTAATTGGAACGTCTGGATGCACCCGCGATGTGAAGCGCTGTACGGCTTCAGGAACTGCTGTCGGTAGCGGAGGAGGGAAGGGGGATATGGATATGCTCGTAATCGAAGCTGAGTGAGCATGGTAAGTCCGAATCGATTTGAACGAAGGCAGCAACAATACATGCTGCATAGGATGTTAGCAGATTACTTCAAGGAAAGCGGGGTCTCGTAGCATACAATATTCCCATTGTGTGTACCAATAAACTATAAAACAGTTAGTTGGAGGAATTAAGTCACCGAAATATTGGAGGTTCACCATCTTGTCGCCAGCAACCAGAAAAGTACTTGTAGCATCCCCATTCCTATAGACTGGACCAAGATGGCTTGTCATTCGAGCATATTTTAGCTTGGGCTCTTCCTCCTCTTCCTCTTCATCCTCCTCCGATTCTGTTTCGAGGGTATCATCATCATCTCCTGTCTCAGTGCCAGCTTGATTGGACGCGATATTGTCTAGATTTTTGGTGTCGCCTTGTTCTTCTGAGCCTTCGGCCATAACGGCAGACTCTCACGATCACATCTGCTGTTGTTGTCAAGGATGTGCAGGGGTAGCTACACCGACGACGTCAATGCCAGTGAAGTTTAGAGCGCCTTCAGATAACCGAGTTCTAGGCTTTCGGCAGTAAATTTATTTTTTTGGGGTGATCCTGAGAATCTAGCTTCGAACCCTCGCAACCATGGACAATTTTGTGTACAATTTATGTTGTATCACTAGTAAGGTCTACAATTATCATGAAGTCTTTATGTCGTTCGTTTTCCTCTGTCGCAGTTAGACGGCCAATTGGTGAAAATAATTCACGACTTCCTTATCGATGTCAGCATGCTACAGCACCGGCGCCACACCCTAGAAAGCGGAATTTCTTTTCTTCCAACGCTGCTCTCCAACAAGATCTCGCATCATCAGCTGACGAATCTATATCAGAGCTGAAGCCTGTTCAGAAGAGGAAACCTATACGGTCGCCAGCTGGGAAGACGAGCCTGAGGAGGGTGGCAGTGGAAGCTCAAAGATCTAGGCAAAATACAACTCGACCTGAAGTCACATCTGAAAATGTTGAAGGCACGAAGAGAGTTACTGCTATCTCTGTGGCAGACCATTTTGATATGGAAGCTGTAGCTCGGATCTTACGATCGCATGGTTTCTCAATTGACCCAGACGGAACTGGCTTTGAATCTGATGAGGTTATACACACACGAGGGGTCAACAACGGGGATATATTTGTGTTTCCTTCAGGGTCGCTTGTGGCATGGTCTTTGCCCCAAGATGTAGTTACAGATTTAGCAACCAAGACCCTGTTCCCAGCCGCTATCGATTCACATGTGACCGATGTTGAGATAGAAGATCTGGAATGTGAGGAAGACGCTAAACGTGAGAACAGCAGTATAAGAGGAGATATCATTGTGCTAGGGACGAAGGACTCGCCAAGTGAAGGCCGTCTAAGGTATCTCACGCATAGTCATATTTCCTGGTGAATCATCAATGCTAATTTTTGCCATAGCTCACGAGTCGATACAACTCTTGCAAAGATTGCCTTCTCTTCCGGCCTTGCTAGGTCGACAAAACTCGCGGTTCTCGAGACTATGTTGTCAAAGTACTTCGAATCTACCAAAGCCATACCTACATTACTTTCAAGAGGATCAAGGCTACCTTTTAATCGGCAATTCATGTTACAAAAGACTGGGGAGTTGCTTGATTTACGGGCCCGGCTGAACCACTATTCCGAGCTCACAGATTCACTCCCGGATTTGTTTTGGGATAGTAGGCATGAATTAGGTCTAGAAGGGTATTATGATCAAGTCGGAAGGGCTCTCGATGTTGGTGTTCGAATCAAAACTTTGAATCAGAAAATGGATTATGCCCAGGAAATCGCAACAATTCTTCGGGAGACTATGAGTGAGAAGCACAGTATTCATCTAGAGTGGATCATTATTGTTCTCATTGCTGTGGAAGTAGGCTTTGAGCTTCGTAGATTATGGAAGGAACGAAGTGAACGACTGGAAAAGGGAAAGGAGAAGGAACACGGCACATGACATAATATGCTATGAAATCGAAACGTTTTTCTTTCCAATTTCCGAAGATTCCAAAAGATACCCCACTCCATACTGAAGAGCAAAAGCTCGTTTTACTTCCAGCGGGAAAACTGGAATATTATATATTACATAGTTGAATCCTGTTTCGGCCATGAGATATCCTTGATTTTCGAGCTATTGAGTTGAATCGCTTCTTTTATGCCTCTGAAAGCTATAAAATCGACCCTTGAGTTTAGAAATCCTCTCATCCGCCAACTTGTGATATGTCAAGTAATTAGCTAACCAAGGGATGGCAACGTCGGCCCAAGGGGTCTGGGATGGCGGGCACCAGCACACGCAATACATTGCTTTGTTTGCAACTTCTGAATATCGAATCAATGCTACTTGGAAATGCCTATTACTTGGTGCATGATATGGAAAGGCATGTTATAGTTTACATGTCTGGGAATATACTTCCTGTAGCATGATTGCTTCGATATTTCGAAACAATGCGACTCTTATATATACGTTCTTTTTCTGGCGTCTACATAAAAAACTTAGTTTGCAGCGAAGGAAAGCCGGGAAAGCAGGCAAACAACCAAATTCCGAGAATTTCGCTGATAGACCTTAGGCCATTCCTCGGCAGTAGATACAATACATACCCTAGCAGGGACAAAGACGTATGCTATACCTTGATTCCGATCGTTTATAATATCCACGAAATAACTCTGCACCCTCCATAGTCACTTTTGAGCAAGCAACCGAAGCTATTCATCAACTACTCAGTAACGGCAACACACAGGCTTATACGAATATATTGGGAGCCGATTACTACACAAAGCCGGTAACATGGCGGATATCTATCGACCTCTTAGCTGATCGCCAGGTCAGACTTCCCGATTATATACCACACAAGTGCCCATCAACAAGCTGGCCATAACATGAATTGCTTGAACAATTGCAGTCCTGGACCCATACCGGCGGCATCACAATCGGAGGGCACTTTGGAACACAGTCAAAACAATTAAACTATGCAGCTGTGTACACGGCTCTCACTTTAATCCTCAGATATTACGCGCTGTGCAGCTCACTGTGACTTTGGTGCAGCTTGATGGTAGGGGGTTTTATAAAAAACACAGGTAAACTTTCATGGCCTCTGTCGAAGTTTTAGACACCATGTGGTGTGCCGCCTCACAGACGCCGATATCATTGTCGTTCCACGTCAGTAGTACTCTCCTTATTGGAGACGTTCGTCGGGAACATGGTGGATTATCTAAGCATCCGAGAAATTCATTCATAGTTTGATTGCCAAACTTACAAAAATTTATCTGTCAAATTCGGCGGGTACAAGAAATGCCTTCTGAAGATGACTGAAACTTGCCAGACACTTGGCCTCAGACGATCCTCAAACTTCCAGTGACTGGGGCTTTTCCGGATCTAAGTTACAGCCCATGCCCCAACCATAGGCGATCCTGCTAATCACATAGAAGCCACCCCCATGACCCGGACCTTTCCATGGGGGTGGCGTAGCCGTCTTCCGCACTTTTGGCTCCATCGTTCCCGAAAAGGGAAGAATGCGACTCTGTATAATGGATCTTGAAAGTCACAAGTTCATTCGAATATCAACTACAAGAGCCGCTTACTAATAGCCATCAGCATAGTTGCCTGATCGCACCTTGAGTATGATACGAATCATCGAGTTGGACAACGCTACTTCGGAGCTGAAAAGTCAGCATAGATTGAAGAAGTACTTATGCGGCGCTTCTGGTCGCTTTACCGCTGTTGAATGCCTTAGCCGGCAACTGCGATGCTGTTGGATGCTGTTCAAGATAAATCATCCGTCATTGCTGATGTTAACAGAATAACGAGCTAAACGTCGGCATCCGGATTTTCGGAAACGTCTACGTCCTTACTGGTCTTTTAGTAGATGATTGCAGAACGCGGAATGTAGGATTCTTTGAAGCTTTTGATTTGACGGGGCATAGCTATTGCAATTTTCATGGCAAGACATGGTCTAGAGCGGGGGTAAGCCTTTCAAGAACTTCTGTTTCTTAGTTTCATTTCTTGAGAGGCAATTTTGGAGGGGTTACATCTGACTATTTATACCTTAGGGATGTAAACAACGCTCTGAAGGAATCCAAACATTTACGTACGTAAGGATAGGATCGCGGTCAGATGAGTAAAAACGAGATCCAAAACCCGATGCAGCGGTAAGGTTGCAGCCGCTGCATGAGGACGACCGAAATTAGCATCATCACCATTGTGCAGTATCGCAAGGCTGAATTTAATTATGGCTACACATCAAGTGCGTGTCAATAAAGATATTATGATTTTACTTCCTCGTTGCATACCAACATAAGCGCATTGTATACATGAGGAGTGCAAGGCTGAATTCTCAGTTGCCAATTTGCATCGAGAGAAGTAGCCAACTTATCGCTAGATACGAACCCCTCGTCGAAACCACAATGTAACGGCACAGTTGCTTGACCTGAAATTTTGACTCAAGGATCGGATCCGCCGATGTATAAGAATGCTATGAGTACCCACTTTCATGTCCTTGGATGGGACAAGAGGTCGATCCGTGACAAGTGCGAGGCGAGCAATTTCATATACCGAGGAGACATGACTTGCTCAAAGAATGGCTAATACTGTGAGGAAAAAAGCCTGGAGACCGAAATCCAAAACTGGATGTCTTACTTGTCGGTTAGTCATCCTACCCTATTTCATATTCTGCCTCTATGATTGAAGTGCGAGTAGGGTTCTAAGGTCGAGACACTAACGGTAAATAGAACAAGACGAGTAAAATGCGGAGAAGAGAAACCACAGTGTCTTCGCTACACAAAAACTGGACGCAAATGCGATGCGTATGATCCAGATCGTCCGGAAATGTCAAGCACTGGGCTGGCACGAAGAGCCATTGATGAATCTTCGCCAATTGCAAGCTCAATCGCTAGTCCCACCGCAAGCATAATTGCAATATCGTCCCCAGTTATTGAAGAGGATGAAGAGGAAACAAGAAGCCTCAATTTCTTCATCAACAACACAGCGCCAGAACCAGCAGGTAGTTTTGAGTCAAAGTTCTGGAACAGTCTCGTTTTGCAGAGTTGTCACTCCGATCCTCCCATTCGCCATGCAGTCATTGCTCTAGGAGCTTTCCACGAGTCTTTCAAGTTTGGCGATAGAAAGCTGTTAGAGGCGGGAGCTATTGATGATCCTAAGCAACGATTTGCTCTACAATAGAATAATGAACCTATACGCAATTTAACAGGACATCTTTTACAAGGCGTTAATCCACGATCTTCGGAAGTAATTCTGACATCTTGTATCTTGTTTATTTGCTTTGAAGCAATGCAAGGAAACTATCAAGCGGCATTTGCGCATCTTAACAGTGGTCTGAAGATTCTAGGCGATTGCGTCCAAAAGAACAAAGACTATCCCAATGGTGATTCAGAGTCGAGCTTAACTCTAGAATTTATCCGCTCAGAGCTTTTGCCTCTGTTCGGTGCTTTAGACATCCAGACGACGACAATTTTACCTACTAGCAGGGTAATGATGACGGGATCAATAATATTCGATTTTAGAACTCAGACTAGCATACCAGACCGCATTTCATCTCTGAATGAAGCAAAATATCATTTGCAGAACCATGAAATACTGGAATACCATCGGAGCGTGACCAAAAACTATAGTCTAGACATGGCAGAGAAAGGCGATGCTGTACGATCAAATGGCATGAACGCTATGATGAAGGAAAACAGAAGGTATGCTTTACAGCTTGAACAGTGGTGCACAGTTTTCCACAATTTCGCATAAACAGCCGGCCAAACAATGGATACAAACGATCTGCGAGCATCTCTATCACTCCAACTTGACTACGAAACCAACAAACTTATTCTCGAAACGGCACTATTTGAAACTGAAATGGACTATGATCGATATATCGATCAGTTTGAGCTAATGGCTTCACTGGCCGAGTCGCTTCTTAAATCATATGGCGATTCGAGAATGGAAAATGGACCAGTCTGTTCATTCAATACAGTGATCATACCATCATTGGTATTTGTGGTATACAAATGCCGTGACCCTTCAATACGCAGAAAAGCACACGCTCTTCTATCCAGTTCCTTCAGACAAGAAGGTCTTTGGGATAGTGAATTTGCGAGTGGTATTGGTAAATGGTCCATAGATAAGGAAGAGAAAGGATTAGAGAATATTTCGAGAGCGGAAGAAGTATTGGGATCGTCAAGGATAGTAGTGTCGAAAACAGCCTCGCTAGGACGACGACGTGCGTTGATTAAGTTCAGGCAGGGTTCTCGTGGAAATGCTGGAGATTTAGATCTCCAGGAGGAGTTAATTGTATGGTGATGTGTATTTAGATAATAGGTATCAAGGACTCTGGTAGTTTGTTTTTATGACACTGTATTCCGAATATTGTGATTGAGAGCTTGCTTGAAGATACCATCCCTTCCTCACAATCTGTATGTCAGCGCTAGTCTTTACAATAAACCAAAATTGCCTACCTCAGGTATATAATAAAACTTCATTAACTCCCCTATTTGACTTAATAAGACTCCATCATCGAACCAGATTTTGGAATCGGATAATATATGAAGAATTCAAACGGATTAATATTATGTGCAAGGAACTATATTCCCAGCTAGGATGAATAAAATGAAGCAGTGCAGAATCTAAAAATTCTAAATATATTCAAATGAAGCAATAATTAATCAATAGTTATATATTGTAAAAGTAGTAGATTGAGATATATACGTTTTGATAATACATTGTAAGGGGGGATTGAAAGAGAAAGCTGAATTAGATTATATTATAATATATTATTTATGAAGAAAACAAAGTTTATAATGGTTTTGAAGTTGATATTATATAGATTTAAATGTATATATATAAAAGATTAATTATTATAAAAAAGAAAGATAAAAGTTTTTCTTTTATATCTAATTATAAAAGGTTATATAATTGACTAGTTAAAAATTTTTATATATTTGGTTTATAATTTCAACTTTCCTACAATATTACAATTCTTGAAATATATAAGAATTTTATTTAAGTCTAATATCTTACTTTTTAATCATTTTTAATTCCGGTCATCTTTCTTTATTATAAATAATAAAAATTAATTATCAGTTTGTTGATATCAAAATCATACTATATATAAGATTTATTTAATATAGATGATAGAAAATGAGAAATTTGTTTAAATGAATTATGATTCTAATAATCTGATTGATCTAAAAAGTTTCTATTATAATCTAACCTGTGAAATGTGATAAGTTAATATTATTACTTTTATATTTATTAGATATAATTTATTAATATAAAATATTATTATTATTATAAATATTATAATTATTATTTTTAAATAAAAAAATTTAATTTTCAATTATCAAAAACAAATTAATATTCTATTTATACTTTGATATATATTCAATATTTAATTTATTATAAACTTTTCAAAACTTAAATTTTTATTAGACTTTCTTGAAAAGTTAAAGATCCGGAGGGCGCAGGCCACTGGTAAAATTAAATTAAGAATTTATATAGATTTAAATATAAAATAAAATTATTTAAGAAATTGATTTATACATCTTTAAAAATTTAATAGAGTATTTGTCACAGACGTTATTAGATTACAGTTTGAAAGCCTAATACATCTTATAGACTATAATTCAATTTATATAATCTCGATGTTTTGTTAACGAAATGTTGAGTTATTGATCTAAAAGAATATTGTGTAAATTTCTTATTGGTATTTATAAAAAAAAAAAAGTTTTAAAACTATTTTAAGATTAATTTATTCTTTATTGTATATAACTTTAATAATTCTTTTCATTCTTTTTTGAAAATAATTTGTTAATTAATCATCAAAGAAATAATAACATTTTACAATGACTATTACAAAAAACATTTTAGATTTTTTAGATCAATTAAATCTCTTTCTATTATAAAAGAAAATATCTTTTAATATTATAAAGAAATTCATTAATAGATCTTTGACATTATATAAACAAATTATTATCTTATTAGAATTTGAATTAATTCAAAAGTTTGAAAATATACAAAAGGAATTTGAAATATTGAAAATAGAAAGTTGAAAATAAATAAAGAAGATCTTTGTTTGTTTTATACTTAAATATAATAGTAATATTTTATCTATAATTATAAATAAACAATAAATAGATTTTATACAAATCTTTACTTTATAAAAAAGATTTTCAAAACTTTAAAAACTCTTTTTTTATAAAAGTATTTATATTAACAAAATTGAAAACTTTTTCTTTTATATAAAGTTTCTTTTTCGAAACAATAAAGGTTATTATTTTCTTATTGATCAAAAGAAAATAGATTATACTATTTAATATTTTCAAAAATATTTATTTGTGATTTGATAATAATATAAAAATATTAAAAATTAATCTTTGATATAAGAATAATTTAGAAAATATATATATAATATTATTTTAAATAAAATAAATCAATAAAGGATTATATTTTAATTATTAATACTTTACAAATCTTTCAAATTCAAAATTGTTAAAAAACAATAAAATCTAATAGTAATTTTAATTATTTTTTTAATTTTTAATTTTTTATATCTTGAAGGAGATTAATCGAGAATAAATAATAATTATTATAATAATAATATTATTTATATTAGTAGTGGAAGACTTAATTGTATTTAAACTCAATAGGGTAAAATTGAATATAATCATAAATTGAAGTTAGAATAGTAAAATAAAGATTTTTATTGCTTTTTCTATTTTGTTTTTTCTAAGGATTCTTTAAAGAAAACCTTTGTATTTATAATATTTAATATGATTCTAGTATATTCTATGATTAATAATAAGATTAATTTAAATCAAATCTTATAGAATCATTTTATATAATAAAAGGAAATAATAATCAATAATATTCAATCTAGTGAATAAGAAATTCTATACACTTTCATTTCATTCTATTCCCTTATAAATCAATCTGATATGAATTATAATCAAAATTTCATATGATAATGAAATTTAATAATATATATAAATATTATTAATATATTATATGATCATTCGATCATTGGTTCGATTAATATTATTAAGTGATTTAATAACTTATTAAAAAATTTATATACTCTTTTAATAAGTATATTAAATGTTTTAATAATATTAATATAAATTAATCTGTTTTTGTAATTCGATTAATTTAATTCGAGTTAGTACTTTATATAACGATCTGGTCGAGGCAGCGGCTGCCTGAGGTTTCGTATGGTTGGTAGTTGTAGATTAAGGTTAATAATTATTAATTATCCATTCGAAGATGAATATGTTATTAGATTAATTAAAATATAAATAAACTAATTGATAATTAAATTAAGTATGAAGCTTTTAAACTATAAAACTATTCTGATTATATATTAATTCATTTTGGGAGTCTTTAGAAATATAGACTTTTATAAACTCTTTGAAGTTTTTAAAAGTATAGGTTTTTCGAAATTCTATTATATGATTAGAATCAGATTATATATCTGAGTTTATTGAAGATAAAGAGATTATATAAAATGATTGTTATACAAATTTGTATACAAATTGTTTTATTTTTTAAAGAAATCTAAATTTATAAGGATAGGTTGATTATTACTTTATAATATTTTATAAAATGATTTCATAATATTATTTCTTTTTTAATTAAACATTATCTTTAATTGTTTATAACTAATATATAATTTATTAGTTTTCATTATTCTATATTTTGATCTTTTTATTTATTATAAATGATTTATAATTCAACAAAATTCATCGAAAAAACAAAAAGAAATTCTATTTTATAATTGAAATCAAGAATTTTGATATCGAGATGATTTTATATATCTATTGTTGTATAAAAAACCTTTGTTATATAAAAATTTTGAATAATTTGTAAAAAACTTATTATTTTGAATATATACAATTTTATATTCTTTATAATATAAAGCAATATTTGAAAGATAATTGAAATAAAGAAATTCTTTGAATAAATGATTGAGAATTTTTAAATAAATAAAAGGAAAAACTTTATAAGAAAAAAGAAAAGATTATAGTTAAAATTTTTTATCTTCGAAAATAATAAGATTATTTGTAAAATTGTTATAGAAAAATGATTAAACGAGATCTCAAATATCTTAATGAATTGAATATTTTGAAAAAGAAAGAAAGAAAAGAAAAGAAGGAAATTATTTTATTCTCGATATTTGTTGTTAATTTTGATTTTTCTAATCAATTTGATCAATTTGATCAATTTGATTAATTAACCTTTGATCAATTTGATCAATTATCAATTGATTCTATTAATTCCAATAAAATTCTTATAAATGATTTCGATTCTTTCGATTTTTCTTTATAAAAAATAATGAATTCTTTTTTCTTTTAAGTAAATCCGAATTCTATTAATAAAACTTTTAGAATTTCTTTAAATATTTAATCTCTTTTTCGAATTCTTATATGTTTTCGGAATTAGGATAATCTTTTTATTTCATTAAATATTTAATCTTGTTTTTAATATATTTATAATTTAATATTTTTTTTATTTTGTATTATAAGAAAGTTGGAATTATAGGTTAAATATATAAAGGTTTTAATTAATCAATTATATGATCTTTTATAATTAGATATAAAAAAAAAGCCTTTTGTTTCTTCTTTTTACAATAATCAACCTTCTATATATATACATTTGAACTTATATAATATCAACTTCAAAATCATTATAAACCCTGTTTTATTTATAAATAATATATTACAATATAATCTAATTCAGCTTTCTTTTCCAATTCCCTTCTTATAATATACTATCGGGATGTATATATCTTGATTTATTATTTTTATAATAATGATCTATATAGGGAAATCGAGCTATATTGTTTATAAAATATACAAAATCAATCTATAAGAATATTATATTGAAAAAGAAAATAGAATTAATTGTTTATTGATAAAAAAATAAAAACAAATTCTAAAAGAATAAACCTTTCAAAAATGGGAATGTTAAGTAAAGAATAAAAGAAGTTTAGATTTCTAATTATTTTTATTCTTGTTAATTTATTATATTATAAATAAGTGATTTATTATTAATCTATTTATTTATATTGTAAAAGTGGTAGGTCGAGATATGTGTATCCTGATAATATGTTATGAAGAGGGAATTGAAAGAGAAAGTTGAATTAGATTATATTGTAATATATCATTTATAAATAAAACAGGGTTTATAATGGTTTTGAGGTTGATATTATATAGGTTCAAATGTATATATATAGAAGGTTGATTATTGTGAAAAGAAGAGATAAAAGATTCTTTTTTTATATCTAATTATAGAAGGTTATATAATTGATTAGTTAAAACCTTTATATATTTGGTTTATAATTTCAACTTTTTTATAATATTTTATATAAAAAGTTT